AATCTGCTCAGTAAGGCCCATAAATCGGCTCTGCATTTCTTCTGTGGGCATTTTGCCGTACTTTTTTAATTATGTTGCAGACGAAACTGAATCAAGCTCGTCGACAGCTTCGTACAGCCTAAATACAGATTTTTTATAGTAGTTGGTAGAAGGCAAGAGAGCTTCTCTTCGGTATAAGCCGTCCTCATTAACATGTATATTTGCTTGTTGATATGGTCCCTACTTTCAGAAGTAGATTGTTACTACCGTCTACTTAATTTTGAAACCTCCCTTTTCAAGGGATTGCTCTGAATTTCTCTTTCGCAAAAAATTATAGAAGGACCACAGCATTCTCAACTTAGGTATTTATCACTTGCAGTTGTTTTTAGACCCTGTGCCCTTTTGCAGTCAGTTTTTGACATGATTTAACTTGATCCTTTCGAGTCATAATCTTTTTCACACATGATTTCATCCAAAGCATCTAAGAGGTATACTTCGTCGAACTTGCTCTTTGAAGCAGTACTGATGTTCGTTTCCAAGCCATTCTCGAAACAAACCGGTCCAAATCCAGTAGCAAAGTATGTCTGAATAAAGCAGAGATAGTACTCCAGTTGTAACAAATACGGTATATGTGAGTTCAATCCAGGAATTCAAAATTTCTCAAGCACCAAGGAACCTGAAGGTAGGCCATCATAAAAGAGCCAGTACTTTATACCACATTATATAAACAGATAATTTTTATCTTGTCAAAGTTCACTATCAATGAGATCCCATATACGCGTATCGAGCTCACTCACGAACACTTTGTTCACACGAAGAAAAACCTTTTCACAAACATTAATCAAGATAAAATTATAATCATCAACTTTATAATTGATTGGATCTGCATGTTTCCTAGGGCCTACTTGAAGAGAGGCTCTCTGAAATCATATGAAAATTGACTTTCATATTTAGGATCATACTCTTCAGGAGTATACTTTGGCTCAAAATTGATTACAGCGGCATCAAACTTATCCCAATATTCTAAAATTTCATCACTAGTATTCAGTCCAAGAACATCAATTCCTTCAAGCACGAAGATCTTTACTATGAAAAATCTATTAAGCCCTTGAAATAATTGATATAAGACTAAGGAAGACTTTGAAGAAGTCAGTGGTGGAGGGGTGACGAGGGACTTCTTCTCCTTCTGCTTCTATTTGATGAGCAAAGTTTTAAGCGTTGATAGTTTCAAGGCTTACCTGTGCGTTAATCTTTAAAAGTCGGTGCTTTTTTGTCCAGAAGACGCAGCATTAGGTAGATGAACCTGGCTTACAAAGATTCAAAAAGTGAGTGCAATGTGTGGAAAATATTTACTTTGAGATATCACTTCGACTTATAAAAGACACGCCATTCATGTAAAACCCTTTCGAAAAGAATTGTCCATGACATTGTTTGAAGTGTAACATCAATGTCGATGTAATATGACGTATAGACAAGATGCGGCCATTGAAGAAAAAGGAATATTAGATGATCTAAATTGAATGGTCGTGAGGTACTGAGAAGAGTATCAGGATTTAGCGAATTGACCTCAAAACTCGAAATTGAATTCATATTCAATGAATGACATAATATGAGGAGTTCATTTAGGTTTATTGAGCTGTGAATTCTAAAGCGCAAAAAAATCATTTCTAAAATAGTCTACCAACTCTTCTTCAAAAACATTTAGAACTGACAAAGGATCAAAAGATGATTTAATATTCACATAACTTGGATATGATTCCTCTATAATGTCATAAATTATATCTATCTTTATTTGATCAAAATCCGGTGTTAGTTTAAATTTAGGTTCTTGCTCTAAAAATAATTTAAAACTGTTAACTAAAGCATTTATGAGAAATAAGCTGTAATTATTAATACACTTCACAAGATTCCCTGGTTTTTTTTCTCCATTAGTATCCAAGAAGACCAACATATCAATATAACGAGTTATTACCATGATTAGCGATATTGCATTTTTTGTCTCTCCGTATTCTTCATCATATATATTCTGGGTTTCCTTCTCCGTAACTGTAAGTTCAGATAACTTTAGAACAAAATGGTTTAATGTTATACTGTTTTCGACATTTTTCTTCTCAGACTTCATAACGGTAAGTAATGAAAAAAAGCAAAATACCATGGCTCGCCATTTACTTTCCATTCCCATAAGAAAAGTATAAATCTCATTTCTGGTTGCTCTCGAATAAATTCCAGAGTCTAGAAGCTTCGCTTTCTTAATAAACTCAACATATGGTATAACCAATAGCATCGCGTATTTAGTTGCAAGATTATGAGACCCTCTACTTAACTCCTTATTTGTATCTTTCAAAACGTAATACAATAAGGAGTATCCGTGTTGAATCATTGCAAGTAAATAATTTGATAAAAAGAATTGTAATACTATATCATATGAAGCATCCAAACTAAATGTAGTGCCAAACTCTCTTATTAATTCAAACGAAGGTTTAAAACTTTTGCAGACAAAGCTTCTCACATCTTCCAAAGAAGTCATAACATCGTAATAGGTTAAATTTGGTGATAGAATTATATTCAAGTATTTTCTCATCATTAATGTTGTTCCAACAAGTATGTCATCTTTATCTAAGAGATCTTTCCTCAAGCACTTATTTGAAAGATGAAAAGGTACGCCTAGATTAAATGAGTTAATGGTGTCATAAAAAAGCAAATGCTTCCAAAGATTCTTCAAAACACTTCTGTTATTATCTGATTTTTTGTAATATAATCTGTCGATGTTTTGGTGTAAACCCAATGTAATTCCCATTTCAAAGCATATTGCAAAAGTTATATTGCCATTGCTTCCGTCACCACCATCACCATCTTTTGTATTAAACATTTTGAAAATGCGTAACATTAAAAGCGCTTGTAGGGATGGCAAAGTAGTCTTTATTAAATACTGAGCATGATCTAATAATTTTGTAATAAACTCTAATAGTATATCGTTCTCATCTTCGAACTTGTTGAAAGTTACGCCATACAGATGCGAGTCTGAATTTAGAGAAAATTTAAGGATCGTCAATAATAAGGCAAGACTGGCAAAGCCTTGCGAATTATCTGGCATAACGATTTCGTATCTCATATTACTGTGGGATAATTTAAACTGAGTTCTAAAAGTTTGCAAAACCTCATCTCGATCAACAATAGGCAAAAATCTGAACCAGAAACCATTAAAAAATTGCATTACGTATTCTAACAATATCGAATACTCTGGAAGAAAGTTTTCTAGTTCTATAAGGACGCCTATGGGAGTTGCATGTATTAGACTATTGGGTTGAACCGATTTTGGTCTATGCATAAACTTCCAATCTTTTCTTTGCTCTTTGACCGATTTGTACTTCGACATGTAATAATCACTTGTCATCAGGTTCTGTAAAAAAATCCTAATGGAAGTAGGACCGCAGAAAATTGAACGAGTTTCTTTAGCGAAAATAGTTTGAAATTGTTCCACGTCAATTTTAATGCTGTTTATTGGATCCTGTGGATCACTTTGCTTTTCCAATTTTTTAATCTTTAGTCTTAAATTATCATTTTCTTTCTCAAGGACTCTAGCTCCATCATTATCTAAATTAACAGCATACGGGTTTGATGCTGTATATTCACAGTGATTTATTCCCTTTACCAAGCAGGTTGTACAAGTTGGTCTCTTGAGATCGCATTTAGTCTTCCTAGCCCTGCAATTTGAACACAGTTTCACTGCTCTTCTTCTTTTTTTTTTACGATTCTTACTACTTAGACTAAAATCATCTTTCGTGAAAACTTCCATTTGATTAATCGAGTCCAGGAACACGATATTAGAATTTATAATCAAATACTTTTCAAGGGAATACGGATATGGACATCGATAATATGCAGTACCATCAATGAAATGATGACCCTCAACGGGTTTTAAGCAAAAGGTATTCAAAGATTTGAAAGATCAAACTTTATAGAGATTAAAAGGACGTAATGTATAAGAAAAATTACGAAATGTTCCCTTCATAAATTTGAATTTCGGATTAAATCTCGAATCAAGTTTCCTTCTTGAGCCCACATGACTAGGAAATAAAAAAACTTTCGAAATATTGCCTTTCCCCTTCGAGCTCAAAATCAACATATTTGCGAAGTTCACTTTATTGTCTCTTTACTGTCTTTTTAAGATAGTCTTGTTATATGGGGCATTAATATATCGCGTTTCATGCCTTAAATCCATAACTCAAAGAGGAAGTAACCGTACGAGACTTCTAAATTTGTTATACGATTAAGCCGCATAACTCCATTAAGAAGCAAATCCCGAATGGCAAAGTCATAATGAGCAATTCATTATCACCATTAAAAATCATTTTGGGGACGCTTAAGAGATGTCCTTATAAGTACTAATTTTTGAAAAAAATTCTAATGCATCTCAGTATTTAGGACTATGATGACTCTTGCTTTAGGAAGATGCTGACACCGCTCGAATAAGTATGTGAACATTTTAAATTCTGAGTCCTAAGAATAATCTTACATTTTTCGTGGAGTAAAATCTGTCACGAGTGTGTAAGTATTACTCATTTGTACCTAAACGTAACATAGCTCCCATACTGAAGCACCATCCAAAGCTAACTAGAAAAGTGTATATCATAGCAGAAATCAAATGAATCGCTTGTAACTGCGCAAAAAGAAAAGGGATCGGGAGGATACTAATCGGTAAACAAAGTGAATAGACTAGGAAAATGAAGATAATAGAACACCAACTCGAGGTCAATTAAATTACCTGCATTTTCTCGGTCAATTCTTCTCTCCGTTTTGCTGTCGCAAACGCCTTAATGTATACCACTCCATTCTTTAAATAGAGAAAGTTGTCCTCTTGAATGTCTCTATGTACGATCCCGTTCCTGTGTATTATCTCCTTGTGCTAATAGATCTTTTCCTTCTCTTTTTCTTCTTTCATTCTCCCACTAAATACTCAGTATCCGATATTTGTTTCTTAGTCTTATAGCACACCTCACAAATTTTCATTAATGGGACTCTCTCAAGGTATCTACATAAATAATTTGAAGTACCTCTTCACGTTATACCGTTTGTTTATTGAAACATTGACCTAATCCTTTTCGGTTGATTATAGCAACTATCAAATTCTGAATCTTATAATATTTTACAGAAACGTTTCTCTGTATGATACACATCAACGCATACTTCTCGTATTTCTTCACCTGTATACCTGAATTTATTGTGATGTTGGCGATCTGCGAATCTCATATCGCTACAATTAAATTCAACCATTGAAATATTAAAAACATTAGTAACAACTCTCATTGAAATATACCCTATATAAAATCAGCTCAAAGCTCATAGGCTACAGAAGAGTTATAAATAGGTATTTTCTTAATGATGATTATATCTCATGTGGACATAAAGCTGGATAGAAAACATAGTCTAAAAATTTTAATCAAAGTAGACTGTCAACTTTCATCGGCAAGTATTATAAATTTGATAAACTGCCCTTTAGCATCATAGTCTCTCTATTTACTTTATAAGAACAAAGAGGAAAAGAATACTAAAATTGTATAAAAGGAAGTGTAAGAGCGACCTGCAAAATTTTCTGAATAAGTCTCAATAGAGAGAGCAGAAGTAGCTCCGTTATCCAAGGATTGAGAGATGGAAGGATATGGCGACTCACTCATCTTTCCTGAGCTCGTCTTATATTCAATCGGTTTAGTCTCTCTGGACGAAGGAATAACTGCAGATGAACTAAGTGGACAATATGTCACGTATGTCGTATGATCTTCCGTTACCGTCCTAACACCAGTAATATGCACGGACTCCACGCAAACATTATCACTACATGAAGTGATGGTGACAGTAGATGTTGAATCAGCGGTTCTCGTACCAGAATCCCCTGAAAGTTTGGTTTTAAAAAGTTCATGTGATGAAACCTGAATATTAGAGGAGCTGAGAAGATTATCAGTGGAATGCCTTGTGTAGTCATTAGTGATTTCACTCTCCCCAGTAATGACCAGAGGTATGGAGCATCTATTCTCATCGCACGAGGATGTTGAAACAGTAGTAGTAGATAAAGTATCAACTGTCAGCATATTCAATCCAAACTGCGGTCCTGAAGATGAAATTGCTTTAGACTTTACTGTCGAAGGATCTTCGCTGAAAGAAGCCGTCTTTTCGCTTAGGGCCAGTATCTCACCAGAGGTAAAAGATGTTTCACTGGCCGAAGAATGTGCATCACTAGCAGTGAAAAGTGCTTCTTCACTTGTAGAAGCTTCAACAGTGGTGAAAGAACTTTCATCAAAAGTGTGTGATCCTGTATCCGTGTTAAGGGATGTTTCATCGGTAGTAATAGCTTCATTCGTAGTAATAGCTTCATTGGTAGTAATAGCTTCATCGGTAGTAATAGCTTCATCAGTAGTAATAACTTCATCAGTCGTAGTAGCTTCATCAGTTGCGATAGCTGCACTTGATACAACTGCTGCATTGGTGGCTCCAGAACTGGAAGCAGCATTCGTACTTGTGAACTCCGATGTAGCAGTTGCCGTAGCAGCAGCCGCAGCATCCAATACAGTAGATAATGAAGCAGGAATATACCAGTAAGGGTCTCCTAGACCAGCACTTGAACATATAGATTTTGCTAAACTTGTGGCTGTAACGACGTCAGATCCTTTACAACTGTCCGCAATACATGATGCAACCAACGCATCCCAGTTGGACATGACACAAAGGCAACCAGTATCCCAGTAAGGACAAGGAGTGATATCAGTATCTTCTTCAACACAAGGTTGAGCACATGTCGGTAGCTTGGCATAGATGGGGTCAGCAAAGCCATTAATACTAGCCGTTTGCGGGACCTCGGGGTAATCTGAGTAGGGGTTCGCAGCATCAGACAAAGAAATCATAGCAATGAAGCCGACAAGAAACGGCATCTTAAAAAGAGTGACTGGAATCATTTCAGCAAATGAACTATAAAGTAAATCAGTGAAAACAACTTCTACAATTCGCAAACAAAATGTCCGATATAAATAGGTTGAAAGGATTTTTTTTAACTTCCAGCCTACGACAGCTGTAATATTAGCTGATTCTTGCCGAGAAGCTGCTAAATTTCCTATTCTTCCTTTCGTACGATTATAATAAGCCCGAATACGCAATTGGCAGCCTTGGTTGTAATCAGATTCGCCAAATGCTGATGCTGCAAACCATTGCATTGCAGCGCGCATATAGATGCATTAAATTGATGTTAAACGCTACCAGCATCTTTCGCGTATTTTGCAAAGTTTCTTCCAATTTAAAAATTTTCGACTATCAACTGTCAGTCGCTAAAGCTAAAATTTTTCACAAGAGGTGTTCGAATATTAAGCACTTGAATATAATACTAAAATGTAAAAGAATTGCTGAGACAACATTAAAAACGGAATGTAAATTACGGTCGTAGAAACAAATATACAGATATAAAAGGGTTCGTTGCAGTATTCTTGTTTAGCTATTCTTGTATTGAGTTTCATTGAGCATCGTATACAAAAGAGCTTACTTAGTAACTTTCGGTGGTACAATATATATCTGGTGAATTCTTTTTCCATCGATTTGTCTGACAGCTATACTTGATAGAATCAACAAATGAGCGAGACCCACATCCTATGACAGCAAGGGATTTGCGTTGGCTTTCTGATTCATATATACGGGACTGGTCCTCAAGGGCCATCGAAAGGTCGACTCTACCAAAGTATACGTCTATATTTGTCATATCGAAAAACGGGGATAAAACACTGGGGCTTCTAGCGCAAGAGCTTGAGCAAGTAGAGAGCTGTATAGTACTAGATTCAACTTTTCCCTCCAGCAACTCTACCACCTCTTTCTCCTGGTTTTCTTTGTCAATCTTTCTGTCCACAGTGTGCATTGAACGTCCCTCATTTTTATCTCGAGTAATATAAACTTCGATTGTTAAGAGCTCATCATTTGCATAAGAATTTAGTTCTTCCAAAATATCCTTATACCACGAAATATTAGAAAGATATTTTATACTCCATATTATTTTGATAGTTGGCATAGTGAGAAGAAAAGAGGTATCCTGGTACCTCCCTTGGACCTTTTGAAGAAGCTCCAAAGCGATTGGAAATGTAAAGGACGCACCTACTCCCGAGGCAAAAATAACAGAGAGTCAAAAGTAATTAATGGTTGTAGCAATCCACCAAAAGGGCCAGATATTAAAACCTTTAAATTCACACTGTTCAGATTTCCGCCTTCATCCATAGAGTTACTTGCATTCAATTGAGATACCTTTCTGAATAATTTTTTTGTAAATCCTTTTTTGTGCTTAATAAGTAATTTCATGTCTCCTGAACTTGCTAGACTGGCAATCGTGAAAGGATGATATTGAAACAAGCTAACCTTGGGAACATTGAGATACACATACTGTCCCGCCTTCCATGTTTTCACAGAAGGCAAGACATATTTATACCACCGCTTAGTCTTACTTGAGGATTTACCAAGTGAAATAGTTACTTCCAATGTTTCTTCATCCAAAATTCTAAATTGAGACATTCCACCATTAGGACTGAATTTCCTGCGAATAAATGTGACAATCCTACCAATAACTTTATCAAGTACCACAAGGTGAATTGCTAAAATTATAATCACTCTGCTCTCTGGGTTATGGAACAACACGAATAAGAACATTATTCCAGAAAATATCTTGTGTTGGATTAAAAAGAAGTCATAGGCAAATTTTCGAAGGACCCTAATGCTTCCCCAACTCAATATACATAAGCTGCCATAAGATATCATCCCAAAGATTTGAGGCGGGATAAGAATCATTACACTAAAGTTTAACCTTAACCAATAGGTGATAGCTAATGCTAAATGGAGTGTGGCCATAACCCACACAAGCCTCCCTGACCACCTATGAAAAAATTGTAAACGATCTTGCTTCAAGCCAGTAGCAAACATTACTATATCAGACTTAATGATCAGCAAAGTTAGAAGCAATAGATTGCCGACAGCTAGCTTTCCCAATCTTTTGCTCACAATATAGTATCTTGGTTGATAATCGAGATCCACCGTTTTAATAAATGAAAATACAGCGTTGATTGCACAGTACCCCAGGCATAACAAAATCAAACCAGGGTGAACATAAAACTTAGATACGAAAGGAACATTAATTGGGAAACAAATGTTGATTAGATCCGTTCCTTTCAATATATTAAATACAAGTGTGGATTTAGATATCCCTTTTCTTCTTTCTCGCAAGAGCTTTGGGAGCCAGTGAAATCCAATACCATATAATAAGAATGAACAAACGCCTACCAAAAACGATAGCCATTGGAATAAGTTGTTTCTATCTTTTTCCACGTAATATTGCAAATTGTAAGGTATTGATGACATGTTAAGCAGAATACGAATAAACTCTCATAAAATGCGAGAGTTCAACTTTTTTGATAATCCCCGATCCGATACTTCTGTGTCATGTTATAAACCCATCTTCTTCCGCATACAGCACACCATATAGCCAAGAAGTATCAGTAGAAGTCTTATCCTAGTTCATTCTTAGCCGAAGTCGGGAACGACCTACATTCTTTAGTAAGCCACTATGCGATTGCATAATGTAACAGTATCCCTTTTTCATGCAGAGTATTTTTAAAATAAATATACAGATTAGAGAATGATGATGCTTGATCGGTCGGCAGCATATATTCTAGGCATAATTCCAATTTATTTCGCTCTCATTGTACCCAAATTTACATCATCCTTTTAGTTTATGACAAATATGAAAGTTTTACACTTATTTTCAATAGCCGCTAGCGTATCTGTCTCAATGGCAAACAACTGGGCTACGTATCCTCAAGTACCCCAGACTGCAAGTATTAATGGATTTGCGGACCCAATCTATGGTAAGCTACCAAAGTGTGCACGGTCTTGCGTACAAAGTAGTGTTAAAAACACACCATGTCCATATTGGGATACAGGATGCCTTTGCGTTATGCCTCAATGGTCTGGAGAAGTTGCACAATGCTTTGCATCGGAATGCTCTGGATCAGATGTGAAGTCTGCAACAAGCTTGGCGCTTTCATTATGCTCCAGCGTAGGAGCGAATCAGTGGCTCATGCCTGCAACGGTTTCTTCAGAACTAAGACACGCAGCACAAGTCACCGGAGAAGTAACTAGCGACATTTCAGTGGAGCCCATTTCAGTTAGTGCTGATTATTCGAGTATTCTTTCCGAATACCTCGGAGAAACTACAGTTTCATCTAGCCAAGGATCCTCGGCTGAATCAGAAAGTTCAAGTACAAACTCTGGAACGAGCTCAAAGGGTTCCAGTGAGAATGCCTGCTGCAGATCGTTTAGATAATGCGAATACGAACACAAAAATGCGGGCGAATAGAAGACAAACTACGACCATGCTGCAGTGTCTCTTTGTGATAAAATAACAAAAGATTCGGCCAAAATCCTTCCAAATACAGCATTGAGCACAATATTGCATGCAAAATGTATCTTAAACATCAAAAGCGTACCATCTCAAGTGGAGAAACTGACAAAAAATTTTTACCTGAAGAATGATCCGGAAGGAAAGATAGCATGTAAACACCGCGTTCGGAAATATCAACAAGCTTTATTAGCAAAGAAACCTTGATTGAGCAGATGATTCTATACACATCTACCAGCTATAAATATCTTCATTTTGCTGTTCCGTCTATAGTTCTAAAATTTTTTTTTGAACCCCAATAGTTAAATCTAAGTTCAAGAGCAAATCAAATTTTCGTTCGCTTCACAATGGCTCATCAGGTTTTCCTTTCAGGAGTTTTGCTCTCGCTTGCAACCAAAGCTTTGGCTGATAATTATTCCACGTATCCAGAGGTCCCAAAGACTGCTAGTATAAATGGGTTTGCTGATCCCATCTATGCTGAACTTCCCACATGCGCTCAATCATGTGTTGAAGAAGACACCGGTAATACACCTTGCCCTTACTGGGATACTGGGTGCCTCTGTGTAATGCTGAATTGGGGTAATCCGGTCGCATCATGTATTGCCGATAGCTGTCAAGGAACAGATGTATCTCAAGCTACCAGCTTAGCCTATTCAATCTGTTCTAGTGCAGGAGTTGGTGACCCATACTGGTATCTTGGGTCATCTTATGTTACATTATTAGAAAATGCAGCAGCTGCTACATCTGCTTCAGCGACGGCGACCGCTAGCTCAACGGACATCGAAGCTAGCTCAACAGAAACTGCTAGCGAAGGATCTGCTTCCAGCACAATAGCAACAAGTTCTGCCGCTCCAGAAAGCACTAAAGAAACTGGTTCCAGCAAAATAGCCACAAGTTCTGCGGCTCCAGAAAGCACTAAAGAAACTAGTTCAGTCGTTCCATCAAGTTCTACTATCATTGAAACTTCTGCTGATGTCAATACCCTTTCTTCAGCAAACACTGCTATCCCAGAAGGCTCTGCAACATTTTCCACTGAAGAAGAGTCTTCATCCGCTAGCTCTTTCTCAAGTGCAACATTTGCAACAGCAAATGAAGAAAATGCAGCAGCAGGAAATCAGAATGGCCTCTTTTTGACAGCATTGTTTGTTGCTTTCAACTTTGCGGCAATGCTTATTTGAAACTCTATGTCAGTAATCATTTAGTCTGGCAAGAAATTTTTAATTTTCGGATTCAACAATTACATATTTCGGTTTAGTTTGTTCTTCGTTAGCTTGATTAGAATTTTTTCGAATACGAAACTCATTCTTAAATTCTTAGTTTTCACTTTTTTTGGTCCACATAGGTCTAATAATAAACAAGTCCCACTTCCAGTATTAGTAAAGGGTTTAAGGTCCTTTTGTCACTGCAATTCCAGAGTTTGAATTTTGTTTCGAAGATGCTTTAATGGTCTAAGCCAAAGTGTTAAATTTCAGCTGCTCTGAAAGCGCTCCTATTGTTCAAGTTGATAATGAAAATCCGGCTTCAAGAGTTATAGCATTCGATGCCAGACGACTTGATTTGATCCCAAGCATTAGCAAAGAAGATATGTCTCGTTCGCCTTAGATCTAACTAAGATGCCGGATAGGAAAAACATTCATAAACTTATCAAATAGCAGGGTTACCCGGCAAATAATTAGTTCCACAGTCCAGGAGCTTTGAAGTATACTGCATGAGATGCGAAAGCCACAAATTTTGATTAAGTGGATAAGGCGATAATTTTTAATTGAGATCGTGCTTGTGGCTTACGGCCCAAAAAAATAAGCCAAAATGCTGACGTAGTCACCACCTGAGCCCCCAAATGACAATTTTAACTTCAATACTATCGAAGGGAAAAGATCCACAAGTTCGGTGTATAAAAAGTCCATAATAGATTATGGGGATTATACAGGAAAAAGATGCATTATTCTTAATATTGTTTAATAAATTCCCTGTATAATTTCTTCTTTCATTAGATTTGAACTATTGTTTGAGTACTCGCGAAAAGTGGAGCTTGAATTTATTGATTCTTCGAAAAGATATATCTTACCGAAGTTTTCGTTATCATGCCCTATTACGTGTTTATATTCAATTATGACGATATAGAATTCCCTATTGTTACCAAATTAGCATTCCATACAAAACTGCGAGTTCAAGGGACATCGTGAATAAAAATCACGAATATTATGAACAATACCTCGGCAGTAGAATAATAAACTGTGAGCTCATGGAGTGAACTGCAAGCGCAATCGAAAATTGCTTTCTTTTTCCCGAGTAACTTCTCAGAACGTAGTATAATATTCTGTCTAATCGCGTCTTTATTTGGACTTTCTGAAGGGATATTAATATCGACTTCGAATCAACTATGAAATTATTTAAACATATCCTAGCATTGGCTGTAGCTACTGTTTGTGTCTCTACTAATACCTTTGACACTGCTCATAAGTCATCCAAATTAGTTGAAAGAGAAGAAGAGTATGATAACACATTCTTAAATCTCGTTAGCCAAACTTTCAATAGATCGGTAGATGAGATGTCTGAATTAGAGAAGGAACTATGGGAAAAATTATATTCCAGGGGCCTCAATGTTACCTCAGATTCGAATGTATACCTTAATTTCAGCAACCTTGATCTTGACTACAAGGCCCCGCACCCGCAGTTTAATAGAACGAAAAGCATTTGGGATAAAGTAGTTCTGGACTCTAAGTTTCTGAATCACAAAGTTCGTTATAAGAAACAAGATCCCTCAGTGTTAGGTGTTGATGATGTGCTTCAATATACAGGCTATTTGGATACCGACGATGATAAGAAGCATTTTTTCTTCTGGTTCCTAGAATCCCGTAATGATCCAAAGAATGACCCCCTCATTCTTTGGTTAAGTGGGGGACCAGGTTGCTCTTCCATTAGAAACCTTTTTTTTTTAAATGGACCTTCCAAAGTTAAATCTAACTTGACGCTAGAGCGTAACCCATACAGCTGGAATAATAATGCATCAATAATTTATTTGGACCAGCCAGTGAATACCGGATTCTCGTATTCGGACATAGATGTTACGACGACAGTAGCGGCTGGAGAGGACTTGTACGCATTTTTGGAATTATTTTTTAAACTGTTCCCAGAATATAAGGACTTAAAATTCCATATCACAGGCGAATCATATGCAGGACATTATATTCCTCAGGATACGTACGAGATATTGCAACATGAAGATCGATCTTTTAATGTGTCCTCAATTATTATAGGCAACGGATGGACAGACCCATTGATTCAATACAAGGCTTTTGAGCCTATGGCATGTGGGCAAGGTGGATATGAGGCAGTCCTTAATCCTTTTGAATGTGCTTCCATGTCGTTAGCTTTCCCTCTCTGCGAGGAACTTGTCCAAAAGTGCTACGACGATATGGATAATGATTTGAAATGTTTCTTGGCATCCCTGTTTTGCGATATTACCCAATATTTTTATTTAGAGGTGAAAGGTGAAAACTTGTATGACTTATCCTCACCCTGTAATGGTTCAGAGTGCTACATGGAGTATGAATACATTGAGCGTTATTTTGGGACATCAAAAGTTAGAGAAGCGCTAGGTATTGAAGTCCCTATATATTACGACTGTAGTCCTCAGGTACTTACTCAAGTTTACTTAACTGGTGACAATGCTAAGCCTTTTCAACAAACTGTTCCTCCTATTTTAGACGCCGGGATCCCCATTTTGCTCTATTCAGGGGATAGAGACTGGATATGTAACTGGCTCGGAAACGACTGGTGGAGTCGAAATCTTGAGTGGTCTGGTAAACAAGAGTTTAATGACGCAGAAACACAAAGCTGGTATGTTGATGGTGAAGCTGCTGGTACGGTGAGAAACTACAAGCATTTTACCTCCTTAAGGTTCTTTAATGCTGGACACCAGGTTCCTTACAATCAACCTAAGAATGCCTTGGATATGCTTAATAAATTTATTAATGGGAACTTTGACTTACAATAATTTATCTGAACATTCATTCTATTTGAAAAGAAAAGGTTTGCGCTTAAGTGCTGTAGAAGTAAGAATAGACCATATTCAACAACATTAAAAAAAATAGTTTTATTTAATGTTAAAGATAACAGCGTCCAGCCATATTTTGATCATTAGACGTCAAAAAAAATCAACCCCATAATGTTGCCTGATTTATTAATATGCAATATATAATCAATTTCAAGAAAATTTATAAATTTAAGGCTCTTTTAGATATTTAACTATATTTTTACGTGATTCAAATTTTACAGCTTCAATTAACTAGTACACCCTCTCTTCTAAGTCCAAAAATAAGTGATCATCCTTTACTAAAGACCGAAAAAGCTATTAAAGCTCTATCGTTTGCATTTCGTTTATTCTTTGACAGTTTCTTCTCACTTTCATATAATAATACAAAATGATGATAAACTAAGAGAGAATAATTTCAAATCTATTTTTCAGAACATCAATTGTAGAATAACAATAATATTGTTTTAAAATCTAAGTTCTACGCTAGCTTTAGACATACACCCTAAGTTAAAAAAATTTTAACATTCCAATTCGAGTCTTATTTTTAATCTTTTCTATTTCAAGTTCACTTATTGTCCTTCAACATTAGTTCAAAAAAATACTCTTCTTGTCCCAATATGGAAATGTTATTGATAAAAGAAAAGAAAAGTGTATATATAGTACAATCAACAAATTTTCTTTTTTTTTTATTTTCAGAATATTCACTGATGTTGCTTATATACACAAGTGGAACTCAAAATGAAGAAGTGTCTCATTATAGCTCCATAAATGTCAATTTTCTACTGATGATCTACAATACTTTCTATTTATTCTTCTTTGTAAAATACTTCTTTTAACAAGGATAATACATATCGCCAGTAGGAGTAAAAATAAGGAGTAAAAGTACAACTATATTAGCATATCCATTTTCCTTGACACCGTAGCCTATAATACCTGGAGCAGCACCAGTGCTCTGGGGCTGACCGACAAGCAAGGGACGAATTTGTATCCAGCAATATGCGCAACTGCTGAATCTTGTGATCTTTTATGTAAACCGCGCCAGAGAATTCTTGACCAGCTTAGTATACAGCTATTCTGGTAATATTCGTCAAAATTAACCCTGTAAATGCTTTGAATGTTCAGACAAAAGATTACAGAAACAATCGCACCCAGTCAAATTACCACATGGGCAACTTGTGGCTTGAGAACTAATAGCGCAAAATTTCTACAACAGAAAGAATCTAATTCGATTTAGCACAACAAGCAGCAATGTATACTATTGCTCTCTGATCTGATAAATGCTAATATCGGTGGAGTAAAGATTGAGTTGGTTTGGCTAAAAGACACTGTACATAATTTTATCATGAATTGTGGTAATATTAATTTGGTGATCATCATGGGCGGCTGAGATGATGAGTTCAGTCTTTAATGGGTTTCGACGGCTTCGGTTTGCATAAGTTAGAAAGCGAAACTTTCAAAAAAACTTTTTAAGTTTAAGAAGCCAAAAGTCCTCCTAGATGCCAATAGGACAAGCAAAAAGGAGAACTTAATTAAAAGAGCTGAAAGTAGATATTTAAGGTTCACTTAAAATGATTGATTGGACCTATTAGAATATACTTCTATTGTCTCTCAAAATTGCCGATTACTTAAAAGTAGACTATTGTCTTTCGATTTGTTCCTGAGAATTCGAATCTTATAAATGCGATATCGGACATAATCACTTTCTTTTGTTTTTTTGTCGCAAATCGGTTCTGGAAAGACAGCGATTATGTTTTACGATGAGCATATTAAAATACCTATTCGTAAAATGCTTCGTTTTTATCGCGGACAACTCAAAGGAAATGAAAACTATATCTACATTATGTTTTCCTCGAAGTTGAAGGAAGCACATATAAACTTTTGTAATATCGTAAAAAACGAGCTGTGGTAAATATACTCGCTGTTTTCTATTTCGGCTTCTATTGTATATTATATATGCCGCAAAAAAAAACAATAAAGCACCACTCGCAACAGAATGGTAGTTGACTTTTACAGACGTATTTACCTAGGACTACTTACTAATATATCAGAATCCAGATACCAAATCCTTTAATTGGTCAATATTGAAAGTAACCTTATTGAACATTCTATTGTTCGTATTGGTAGATCATGATTATCGAGCGAATAATATATATTGAAATAGCTGAAAAAGTCAAGAGAATACATTCTATATAAAGCATTGATTCCTCTAGAAGCATGAATTTCTTTGAGTTACCATTTTAAGACAAAATATGGTTTCTTTACAAAAACTTCTCTCACTCGCTGCAATTGGCAGTGGAGTCAGAGCCAGTGCGCCAGTTGTTACAGACTCTCCAAAGGGAGCTAAATATTCTGCTGAATTTGAAAAAGGTGTCGTTTCAGGAGAAATCGACTTCAGCTCTTCCTCGAATGGGTCAGTTAGTGTCAACGTCGATTTATCGGGCTTACCATCGGTCGGAGGCCCATATAAGTATCATGTTCATCAGCTACCGGTTCCAAGTGATGGAAATTGTAACGGAACCAAGCTTCATTTGAATCCATACAATGGGAATCCAAATGCTACTCAACCCAACGAATTAGAGGTGGGTGACTTATCAGGAAGACATGGCGTTCTTACCTATACTGATAGTAAAGTTTCATATGTTGATGATTATATTTCATTGAACGAGGATAACAAAGCTTTCATTGGGGGATTGTCGGTAGTTATTCACTTCAGCAATGACACCAGACTTGCTTGTGCTAATATCACCTCTAATAGTTCGTCTTCTTCTTCTACAGTTGCTTCAGCAGAAGAAAATGCCGGGAATTTATTGACCTCTTCTTCAATGTTCTTAGCTGGCGTGTCTGTTATAACTGCTCTTTTGATTTAATCTTTTAGTCAACATATATGTCAAATGTCTTGGAGGTAAATTAGATCACTATTAGTAGACTTGACAACTTTAATGATAATGGTACACATCAATGAAAGAGTTCTCCATATAAATATTTAATAATAAATACGCAAATAAATAGGCTATATTCTTGACTGAGTTTTTCAACAATTTCAGAAAGGCCAATACATGGAAAGAGATTTAGGACCAAATATTTGAAATAACGTAGGGTTTCTGAGCACTTTAGCCTATGTTTTATTTAGCTGAAAAAAAGTTGGTATCTCTTTGGATGACTGCTTGGTCTCCCAAAGGAGATCTCACCCTCAAGTTTAGATATATCTACAATTAGTGTGGCTATTGTAACCATTGCATCGAAACCAACAACATCACCAACAAAACCTCTGTCAATCGAATGAGGATAATTTTCTTCATCAGAAAGCCTTCTCCGAATATCATCGTAGGTAGCTTCAGAATTCTTACTAAGATCGACAAGTCTAGCAAGTCTGCTAAAAGAATCTGGAATTGGATGGTCGGTGACATACTTTTTCGAGGCATATAAATGATTGGTATGAGCAACGACAAGGTTATCGTCAGGCTCTATAAAAGCAAACCCCTTCGGCGAAGCTTCAACTGTCAAGAAGTTTCCGCGATTGTCCGCTAACATTAAGTTCGCCGTTGAAGCGATACCTAAGTCTTCGAGTTCGGATATTGCCTGCTGTGTTGATTCAGCTTCTAAACATCTTCTGATCGCAAAATGCACGGGAAGAGCAACTTGACTTACCCCACACATAATTGCATTTAACATAAGTCCCAAACCCTTATCGTTGAAGCCAATTTTAGCTATTATGCCGGCTTCTGTCATCATCAACATTCTTGGCTTATCTGTTGGCTGTATATCCAAAATGATGATACCCTCATTCAATTCAGTTAACCAGTCCCAGTTCTGTGATATATATATATCTTTGTCCTCTTTATTCTGCTGGCTAATAGAGCTACATCCATCAGAGTAATTCGTAAGGCAAATTTCCGATCTAACATTCAATGTAAGAATATCTATTAAGTCTTGACCTGAACCGTCTGCAATGCCACGAAGTTCGTCCATAATCAACGGCATTTTCTCTTGTATGTATGGAATGAACTTTTTTGCTCTATTGTTCGCTTCTTTCCACGTAATCTTTGCTGTTTCCTTATAAAATCTCTCATACGTCTTAATGTTTTTGTCAATTCGTTCTCTGGCTATTTTTCCATGCCTCAACCCTATATCATAATTCGTTCCTTTATGAAAAACGTAAGGTACATCTGTATCATAAAATCTATCATCGTGAACGTTATTCATTTTGGCAATACACTTACTCAAACACTGTTTACCCCTTCGCCATGGAAGCGACCTCAGAAAGGAAGTGCGCTTCGTTTTTAACAGAAGTCGTTCTTCGGATAGAAACTACCGAGGCTTCTTCTGATAAGAACATCTAAACGGCCAATAAAAAGTAATGATACAGTTACGCTATCACTTGGTCATTAAAATATATTATTGAGATAGAAACACTGACGATAGTATTAAAGTAACTTCCTTAACTTTTTTGCAATGATCTAGTTTACGTAAATTTCTAAAGTAGCCATTTTTTGTTACAAGTACTGATATGATAGGACGAAACACTAGGCGAAGTCAGAATGATAAAGGTGTGCAAACTTTTGAATGGCTTAAAAAAGTTGATAGAAGACATTATTACCTTTTTTTGAATAGATCAAGCAGTAGGTGTGACTATGATCAAGTGCTTGTACATTTCAGACTTGTACATTTCAGAGTTTCTTTTTCAAGTTGTTTTTGATAGTGTCATATATCTATATATATATATAGAGGAAGAGAGATGAAACAAGATTTCGTTACTGATTACAGAGGGCCCTAAAAGCAATAAGGATACAAAAAGGCATACACGAGTTGACAGCATGACACAATGACACAAGAAATAGTAAAAAAGTCGTACACTTTTAAACTCAAATAGTTTTCCACTCCTAATGTTGAGCAGCGGATTTTCTTGATGTAGCTCTATTGCCAAATCACTATCGATGATTTTTAAAAAAGCTTAAAGAATCCAATTTAAGAGATTCATACAACATCATTTTATACCTTGTTTTATTCTGCTCAACTGATGGGTTTCAAGATCGTTATGACATACGATGCGTAACATTGAACTGGACACTTAAATTAAGATTATTACAAAACATATAGGCCCTATTAAAATGGAATATTGCCATTTATTATCCTTATGGATCTTTAAAAACTCGTGAAAATTCACTCTTTTGGTAATCACTGACGAGAAAATTTTTGAAGATTTATTCGTGAAATAAGTCCCAATTATTCAGTAACAGCTTCTAATTTGGTTGCACTTGGTTTCAGAGTTTAGAAAGATTGCTGAAAGCATTTATTTTTTTTGATCAACTAAAGAGAATACAAACTTGAGAGCCAACAATTGCCGAACAGATAAAACTGTGTGTTTTAGGAATCTGAAGATTACTGCTGTCCATACATGTCCATTATTGTTTGGTTCTTGTAAAGATCACAAGCGTGTGGATTTTGACCACAAAACTTAGGAACAAGGGGACTAGCTGCGTATCCCAAGGATACTATATATTCCCTGTAATTAAGTATCCGTTGAGTGAGATCATTGGTTCTCAAATATCCATCGGAATTTGTATTACCACTCCACATCATTTCTGCAAAAGCTGCCAGGCGTGGCCATGTTTTAATAGTCAAAACCGTTGAGTCAACCTGTTCAGACCACAAGGCAACTTCAGCACCAATTACATGCGACTTTTCCTCCTCTGTTAGATTTGCAGTAAAATCATAAGAATAGATACGCTGCCATGTTTTGTACGGAGCGCACCATGACCCTCCTAATCCTTCATTGAAGTCGTCATTTGATGAGGAGTCAACATAACGCGGATCATTAGTGACAAAACCACCGTATCCACAGTCAAGATAAAAGTGAGTACTCGAAGAGACAACGACATCATATCCTCGAGACGTTAGATTTTTAATATTCACTAGATCATTGTTCCATGATTGCAAAATTACATCCTTAGGTAAACTGAAGGCTCCTTCAGCTGTCAATATTATATCTTCCCACATCATCAATCTTCTATTTTTGGTATTATTGAAGATAGGAAGACTTTTATCCACCCAAAGTTGAGTTACATCTTTAATAGTGCGGGAAGAATCTTCATCGAGCCAATTTTGAATAGAACTTGAAAACTTGTAACAATTGCTTTGCAACTCATCTGCGCCAACATGAAAGATATTATCTCCAAATAAAGAGCTAAGCTCATCATAGACGTTTTTCACAATGTCATACGTTTTATTGTATAAAATATCAAGTTGTCCTGGAGGAGGTTCAACAGCAGTATGTTCAGACCACACATCATTGGACCACCAACTGTTTGCACATGAAACTATATTTGGATCGACTTTCCGCCAACCTGCTCGAGAGTGGCCGGGCATATCAATTTCAGGGATAACACGAACGCCTCGATTCTTAGCATAGTTAACAACATACTTTATATCTTCTTGAGTATATACTTCCTTAGGTGAGTAAGCATCTTTTATCATTACAGGATAGGAAAGTATTTCAATTGGCCAGGATTGGGAATCTGCCAAGTGCCAATGTAACACATTAAGCTTCGATAAAGACATTATATCAATTTGATCACAAATCGAGCTTATGGAGAGGAAATTACGACCAGAGTCGATCATTACTCCCCTGTGTTGATACAATGGCTCGTCCCAAACTTCAACTGAATCCTCGACAATATACGCTCCATTTTCATAAATAATGAGTTGCTGAAGAGTCAGAAGTGCATGAAGCGCACCCCAAATAGTGCCAGCACTGATTTGAATTCCATCACTACTCCTAGATATCTCTAACAGGTATGTTTCATTTACGCCTAATTGAAATTCTGCATCTAAATCATCAATCGTTGCGATAACCTTACTAACTGCAAGGTTGGCACCTCTTTTTGACTTAAGAACTGAAGATGTAGTTGGGTAGGGCTCAAAACTAGAAATAGGTTTCTCCACAAAGACTGGAGACCATTTCAAGTTCTTTATGGTCTTTACCATTCTTTGAAAGGCTTCCTGAAATAATATCACTTGACTTCCATGTGAATCTTTTCGATTTGTGAGCTTTAAACTTAACTGCGGATTTATGTGAATGGGACTATTAATGTCACCACCCCAATTTATTTTCCTTGGAGCAGGTAAAGGGTTCACAGAAACAGCATATACTTTCGAAGTCAAAAGTAATATAATGCCAAGTAGTTTAAGGCAAGCAAATTGTGTATAAAGCATAATTCGATTGTATCACTGGGTAGGGTCTTTATCAGCGATCTCAATAGCAATAAGCAGCGATATATATACATATATTGTATGAGAACTTATAATAATGTTATTTCAAATCCTGCTACTAGTTTATCTATTGTTGAGAAAGAATGTTCCTTTTCAATATACTGCGCGTACGTTGCATCAATACAAAACATAAGTGTAACTTCTCCCTCTTTCTCCTCGAAATGCTTTAGAAGTGATTGGAAGCTAATCGTTATCGAACGAGACAAATTTCCAAAATTGCGTCGTGAAACTAATCCAGCATATTTTAAACAATGAGCAAACTCAAATTATCTTCCTTTATCGTGTGAATTAAGAAATCAGTTCTTAAAGCAGTACAAAATTACAGAATGGCTTCTGATGCAACATGTAATGCGAAATGTAACATGTAAATACGCGTGTTTTTTGACAAGAGGCACTGGAAATGTAACCACATTTCAAATAGGAGACATTGCCCCTTGAAATAATCTTGATGAATCTGGTGATTGATTTTTAAGTTCGATCGAGTTTTCAATCGTTATAAACTTCCGTTCATGGCAAACACTTTTCCGTTTGTCAATAAGGGTGCTGATTGAGAGCTTGCATACGACGCATTCAGAAATCTCTTATCAATACTTTCATGCAGTCTCGCAAAAAAGTAGAAATATAGCAGCTATTAATGCAGACAAAGACGATATGCTATGTGTTCTTTAAAAAATGCCTTCACCAAGAAGAAACTATATTTAATTTGTCTCAGAGAAGATCTCTAGTTAACTACTATTTTGTTTTTCAAAAAGTAGTATTTCTCAATAACTGAAATGGAACAAAGTTTATTTGGAGCCTTAGAATGAACTTGAAATCATGCTTATAGGTCAAGCCATCTTATAGAAGCTATTTCTTTGTCTTTCGCAACCCCACAGTACGTCAGGATTATTGGTTTTTTCTTTTAAGTTTCTTGGGCGTCTTCTCTATTTCAGCCTCGAAAAACGTAAAGACATTCCGGCTAAGAGATTATCCTTTGGTAAACGGATTAATAACTTAACCTCCGCAGCAAAAGATTTACGGATAATTTTGCAAAAATATAAAAGAGAATAGATGGGCAACAATAATGACGACCTCAAACAAACGCATACAATATGACGTCTTCAAAGATGCTTGAGGTGGGAGAGATGAGTGCTGATACCATCACACAAAATACAATTGCTGTCAATTCGCAGCATAATGATGCCAGATTGATGTTTATTATGGAAAGATTGGTGCATCATTTGCATGATTTTGCAAGAGAAACACGCTTAACTACAGAAGAATGGGAAGCTGGAATCCAATTTTTGACTGAAGTGGGCAAAATGTGCTCCGACATTAGACAGGAGTTTATTTTATTATCAGATACATTAGGTCTATCAGTATTGGTGGATGCCTTGTCACACCCTAAACCTAAAAATGCAACTGTTGGAACTTTATTGGGTCCATTTCATACGCATGACGCCATTGTTCACGATCTGGGTACATCGATTTGTTCTCAAGGCAAAGGAGAACCACTTTTAATTGAAGGGACTTTAAGAGATTCTAAGGATGAACCTATCGAGGGAGCATCGGTAGATATTTGGGAATGTGACGAAAATGGTCTATACGACACACAATACGACGAAAGAGATGGTCCAGATATGAGAGGAATAGTATACACGAAAGAGGACGGGTCTTTCGCTATCAAATGTACGAAGCCTGTTCCTTACCCCATTCCCAATGACGGACCAGTTGGAAATATGTTGAAGTATATCAATAGGCACCCGTATAGACCTGCCCATATCCATTTTATAATAAAAAAGCCTGGGTATGATCTGTTAATAACTGCTTTATATCTTAAAGGTGACCCTTACGAAAAATCTGATGCAGTGTTTGGAGTAAAGAGCGACCTTTTGTTTGAACTTCATCATTTAGGTAAAGCAAAAGCACAGAAGTACAACATGAAAGAGACTGATTGGAATTTGAATTGGCATTTTTCTATTACAACCAACGAGGAGGCGCAAAAGGAGAGACTTAAGAAAAATAAAGAAGCAATGTCCAATGTCTCGTTCAAAAATTTTTCTTTCGATATAAATGGTTTGCCTGTCGCTGAATTGGATTAGATAGATATTGATATGAAACTAGTATCTAAGTAAGCACTCAAGTATATTTCTTATGATCTTTGCTTTGTAGGATGTTATCTGTCAAATTAACAACCAGCATATCTTGATTTATTTGCATCATACAGTAATATGGGTTCAAGTGAATCCACAAAAACGCAAACTGAGCTTATTCTTAGGGATAATAAATACAACTCCTGGTCGTAAATTGTTGGTCATTTAATATACAAAGTGAGAAAAAAATTATTGCACACTAAGGACAGTGAAGTAGACATTGGGGTACCAATCTAATCAAAAGTAGAAATATATAACTACCGGTAGCATTATACTTGTTCTTTTCCTTCAACAATTTCAACGAACTGCTGCGACGCTTTGTCGCTCCATGGGTCAGCCAAAACGGAATCTTCTTGTTCTTTCAAAAGCTTCAAAACATGTGCATGAGCCTTCCATGGTCTTACTCCTTTTTGAAACAACAAGTCGACATCAGTAATTGGAATATTCTTTGTTTCGGGATAAGCAAAGAAGTATATAGCATTTGATATCATTAAAAGAGACGCAAAAAAGAAAAATATTCCATATTGCATAGAATTTATCATGTCCTGAGTAAATCTAGCCAATATAAATGCCCAAAACCAATTTGAAGAAGCATTGATGCACTGCGCTAATGTTCTGACACTCAGATCAAATATTTCGGAAATATACACCCAAGGTGTACCCGACCAGGAAAATGCATAACCAATAGTCCAGATATAAAAGAATGCCAAAGCAGCCTTACCTCCAGCATCTAGAGACCCATCTCCAGCTTCTGGTTGAGCTACTTTTATATAAACACCAATATACCAAAGACATAAGGCACAGATAGTAGATATCAAGATGACAGGAACTTTTCTTCCAAATTTGTCAACAACAAAGAAAGCCCATAAAAAACAGCATACTCCCTTGATGACACCAAAGATACCAGTTGAAAGAAGACCAGTTTTCTGTGAACTGATGCCCATTGTCAGTAATATAGAGACAGAGTAATAATTTATAGCATTAACACCAGAAGTGTTTTGAAACATAAAAATGGACGTCGACAAAAGGAGACGATATGCTAAATTCTTTCTTCCAAAAAGAGCCTTAAAAGGATCAAAAAAGCCTGCTCCAACAGTTTTATCACGGTGAATTAATTCCTCTTCCATTGCTGCAATTTCATATGCAATGTAATTTGAATCAGCATCGAGATTCCGAAGATAGCTTAGTGATTCAAGAGCCTTCTTTTTGTTTCCCCTAGTGTAATACCAACGAGGAGACTCCTTGATGAAAAATACACCCACGAAAAACAAACCTGATGGTATACACTGAAGTGCAACGGGAACCAACCATTGTCTGTTGCCTTCAAGGTTAATTTCGGTACCGTAATTGATAAAGAAGCCAATGACACCACCTACCTGCCAAGCAACTTCATACATTCCAATCAATCGCCCACGAATGGCAGGCGGTGCAATCTCCGATACATACATTGGTGCTAGATTTGATACAGCGCCAATTCCTAGACCACTAATTACTCTTCCCGCGAGCATTGGCCCGAGTCCTCGTTCACTATTTGCTGCCAATTGTATTGCAGATCCGAAAACAAGAAGAGCTCCAGAGATGATGAAGCCCACAATCCTACCCCAGACGATACCAACGGGATATATAAGGTAAGCTCCAAAGAAGGCACCCACATGGAATAAAGAAATTATATTTGCTTTTGTGAGGATCTGATCACTTTCACTTTTATTAGCAAAGCCAAATTCTCTTTGAAACTCAGGTAGAACCACAGTACCCCCAATAAAGCCAGCATCATATCCGATAATAACAGCAGCAAAGCAAGCTACTAGCGATGCAAAATGAACCCTAACATTGTAAACCTCTTTTGGAGTCTCCCTAGTTTCTTGCATTCTAAGGTACACTTTTCCGATCGCCTTGATACTGGATACTGGATACTGGCTCCTTGGATATGATGAGCCTTTATATCTTTTGTATCTAAAGAGGAGTGTCCAAGTGAACGAAAAAAAAAACCTTTATCAAATATTATGATCAATACACCTCCACTTTGATTTCCCCATAAATCAAGGCTCGCGTTAGGCTCGTGGACACGCCTTCCTCGCTTGTAACCTAGTTTCTGGTGGTGAGATCTCGGAAAAAAGATTAGCAAGTAAGCTTAAGGGTGATTACTTATCCGGTTCTGGCACACAGACAAAGTATATAGCCTTGTGTTAATCAAAAAAAAAATTGGTTCGATTAGAAATTTTAATAATCCAAAATTACATACCCCAAGCTATGACTAACGCGGAAGAGCCAAAAAGATTTGGATTGGAAAACCAAGTCAAGAGAAATCCTCATAAAGATTTCAAAAAAGTGGAAGCATCGAGAAAACCATTCGATAAGGATAAAAGGTGGGAATATTCTAAGACAATAGATCCTGATTGGAGAGTTGGTGATGGTGCAAACGAGAGCGATTGGAAACAGTATAAAAAATTGGAAATTGATCCGTTTGGAGATACTAGAGATCCTGTGGATAATTACAAATTGTTGATTTCTGCAGTCACTCCCAGACCAATTGGATTCACGTCGACCGTAGGAAAAGATGGCACTAAAAATTTGGCTCCATTTTCTTACTTTACGGTAGTGAATCATGATCCACCAATATTTTGTATCGGGTTGAGCGGAGGCAAGGGAAATCCTAAAGATAGTTGTAGAAATCTTCTTGAGACAGAGGAATGCACTATTAATATAATATCAGAATGGTTTCTTGAGGCTGCCAATTATACTTGTACTAATTGTCCTTATGAAGTCAATGAATGGGATTTGTCAGGGTTGACACCTTTGAAATCGACAAAAGTTAAGCCTGATCATGTTGCAGAAAGCGCGTTTTCCATTGAAGGTAAGCTCATCCACTCTCATGAATGGAAGTCGAAGAAAGACCCTAATAAGGCAACCGGAACATTGTGCATTATAGAAGGAGTGAATTTTCACGTAATGGATAACGTCGTCAATAAGGATTTGAACAATATCGATATTGCCAGTTTAAGGCCCGTTTCTAGACTAGGTGGCATTACTTATGGGAGAACCGTCGACGGATTTGAGCTTCCGCGTCCACTGTACGATCCCAGCGATATTCCTCATAAGTAAGCTTTAGAGAAATAGGAGTTTTATTTAGCCACAGAAAACTTAAGATAAGGAAAAGATATCAATGTAGATGATTTTTCCCTGGTGGGGGCCTATGTAAAATTTAGAAGTAACGCAATTTGTGGGGAAACCCCAATATTCCCGACTATTGTATTGAGGGCAATCATCGAAGACCTGTATATAAAACTTCATCTTTCGCTTTTGATTTAGCCTATACTTTGATGAAAAATTTCAAACATACAACAGGAAGTAAATTTGTTCATTCCTGCGGGGCTATAGAAAGTAAATAATCATATAAAAACTATTTACTGAGATACAGAGCTACTAAGCTACTGACCTAATGAGTAATAAGTGAATCAAAGCTTGTGTGGATACGATGACGGTATGCAAGAAAATTCAACTCGTAATTGTGGGGATGGGTTTAATAGGGCCTCGTCATGCGGCCCATGTCATAAGCAACCCTGATACAGAATTATTTGCAGTGATAGATCCTAGTGAGACTGGTGAAAAAGCAGCAAAGGCTCTTAATGCGAGGTATATGAAATCGATTAGCAGAATGATAGAGTACTGCCACTCAAATGCAGTTCCTTATCCAGACGGGGCCATAGTATGTACTCCCAGTGCCACTCACGTAAAGATCGCTGCAGAATTAGCATCTTATAAGATAAACTTACTAGTAGAGAAGCCTTTGTCTTCTAGCGTCGAGGACTCCATGGCGTTGAGAGAGTATGCGACACAGCAGGGTATTGCGCTATTAGTTGGTCATCATAGGAGGTTCAATCCATTTATCATTGAAACCAAAAATAATTTGAAAGAGGTCGGCAACATCGTAGCGGTACAGGGAACTTGGGCTTTGCAAAAAAATGACTCTTATTTCGAAGCTTCGCCCTGGAGAATTGAACAGAAAAAAGGCGGAGGAGTGATCTTAATTAACTTAGTTCATGATATAGATATATTACAGTATCTTTTTGGTCCAGTTGACGAAGTCTATGCATCTTTACTAGTGAAGCAACGTCTCGAATTCCCCAATGCTGACGAAGGTGCTGCATTAGTCCTAAAATTTAAAAGCGGTGTATGTGGAACATTCATATGTTCTGATAATGTTGTATCGCCTTTCAATTTTGAATCGGGGACAGGCGAAAACCCTACTGTTCCATTTCATGAGGGTTTAGAAGGATTCTATAGAGTTTTTGGTTCCAAAGGTACTTTGTCAATCCCTGATCTAAACTTATATCACCAGAAAACCGGCGGACAAGGATGGCTATCTCCAGTAATTAAGGAATCCTTGATCTCAAGTAAGGACTCGGATTTGAGGCTCAAATTACCATTTGACCTTCAGTTAAATCATTTCGTTGATGTTATAAGGAAAGAGTCAGAGCCCCAATGCAACGCTGATGATGGAATATCTGCAATACTTTGTGTTGAAGCAGTGACCAGGTCCATTGAGACAGGACTTCTACAGAAGGTTCAAGATATCAACAGTGTTAAACCAAATTTCAATTCCTTAAAATGAGTGATCTTACATAATGTTAGAATAAACTTTGCTTTGCACATCAATAATTATTTGTCTTTATTAGAATGTAATAATGATGTTTTAAAAGTACCCTTCTTTTAATGATCAGAATCGCACATGCATTAAATAAATAACCAAAGCTATTATATATATCTCAAACCTAGAAAAAAAATAAGAATCAAATAAACTATTCGACTTCTACAATAAGAGTTAGTTTCAAGTCATCTAACTGACCTCCAAAAGTTAAAGCAAGAGGTAATCCAAAAGTGTTGTATACATCGCTTTCATCATTGAGTAAAACATTGTAACCGAGGACACATCTTAAATAAAGGATAAGTCTGTTAAATTCAAAGCGATTTTTGCAAATTAGGTTTAGTTTCTTTGAAATCCCAGAGGAAGCGCTCTCAGATATTGATGTCAAGTTGCTAGCATATCCGAATAATTTTAACCTGGGAGTGAACTGGTCCTTATCCGAGACTAGAACTCCAATGTTACAAAGTTGATTGGGAGTCACAGTTTCCACCTTGTCGAGAAAAACACCTTTGAAAACAGTCGCCCTTGGTAATATTTTCATCCAGCTACATTGCAAAAGCATCAATGAACGAAATGCATCGTCCGCAATTGACTTACCGTCATCCTGCTTTCTAAAAGAAGCATTAAATACTTCAATTGACAACGGCCCTCGATAGTTCAATTCTAGCGCCTTTTGAATCAATAAGTCATTTCTATATTCACCCTGCATTGGTAAGCATCTATAGTTTCTAGAGTAGAACAACAAATCAGACAACTTCAATAAGGGAGCATCACATAACTGAACGAAAAACACTTTGTTTTTCATTTTTTCATCTAGGACTTTCAAGCTACAATTCCTAGAAAAAATATGATATGAATCAAGGCAAATGCCAAAATTGTCTCGATTGACCTCAAGAACAACTTCGCATGCAGCCTCTAACGTGTTTATATAGGAGCTCCAAGCCAACGCTTCAAAAGCAATCTTTTTATTTTTTTTAGCTGCGACATCAGAAGCAGCTCTCAACTGTTCAATAAAAATGGTTCTGTCATTAGTAGTGTCAGCACGACATGTTGCACATAAAAGAATCAAGTCAGTATGTAAAATATCAGCCGTATTTAAGAAACTTTCGAATTCTGTCAACTTTTTCTGGAACTCAGAATCATCAAGGCCCTCTAAATCTCTGAAAGGTTGATATATAGATACTTGGATCCCAATTTTTTTGCATGTAGCATAAATATCTTCTGCACTTACTTTTTCCAAATCAGTAGCCATTATTTCTACCATGCGGAAGCCAGCGGAGGAGCAACTTTCTAGTTTTTGCAAAATACCCTCATGTGGTGGTAATGTCACGGTAGCTATAGATATGTCAAAGGGGAGTCTTGCTCTTAAGTTCTCAACTGAAGCTAGGTAATGTGAGTTTATAGGAGGAATCACATGCTCGCATTTTACGGCATCTTCTGCCCCTGTGGCGTCCTTCAATATGCTTGATTCTTTCTTATAGTATGTGGTTGATATTGCTGTATTCATTATAACTTTGAGCTTCCCACATTAAGGGGCGACTACCTACCCGTATTAGAATTTATTTATACTAATCGATCAATTTCTGTAATCAAGGATAAACTTTTAGGCTGAATCAATTGTCCTGAAGGGTTGATAAATAATTGGTTTTTTTAAAGTTAGATTGGTCTAACCCTCAATTCATCGCACATCAAATATAACTGCGTTAAATATTTAGCCAGAATCTGTTTAATTTCGCGGCTAAGCAATTACCCACAAATCATTGAAATTTAGGGTTGAGCTTGGGACATACTATATATTTATGACATAAATAAACAATGTAGACTGCCAATTCACTGACATAGGTAGCAAGAGTAAAAATTTCAAGAAAAAGAATTTACATAGAAACAAGATCCTATTATGACTACAGATAATCTGGCAGAAAAAGTAGTACTCAAATTTGTCATTATTGGTGCAGGTTTAGGAGGTCTTGCAGCTGCTATCGGGCTTCGATTGAATGGCCACGAAGTTGTGATATTAGAGCAAGCCCTTAAATTAGGAGAAGTTGGGGCGGGAATTCAGATTCCTCCAAATTCTACAAGGATCTTGGAGAGATATGGTTGCAAAAAACAGATTCTCGAACTATCTACCCTTCCAAAAGCTTGCAGATTTTATAAGTGGGACCACGGAAATGAGCTATCATCTCAAAACTTATGGCCCTACTGTGTCCAAAAATACGGGGGAGAATATTTACACATTCACAGAGCTGACTTCCACAGAGTTCTAGTTGATAGGGCAAAGGAATTGGGTGTTAGCATTATTTTGAATAGCACAGTGGTAGACCTTGACTTCAATACTAACAAGGTTTTCACCTCAGATAATCGCGAATACACTGGTGACATCATCATTGGCGCTGATGGACTTAGATCCAAAGTGCGTTCTTTGATGTTGGGAAGAGAAGATCCACCACATGATACTGGAGATCTAGCATACAGAGCTCTCGTACGAGTAGAAGATATGAAGGAATACCCAGAATTGGATTTTATATCAAAAGAACCTAATATTCATTTTTGGTGGGGACCTGATATTCATGTCGTTGTATATTTATTACACGGCGGAAAAACTTGTAATATCGTCGTTTTGTCTCCTGATACTCTAGATAAAAATACAAACGTCATGAAAGCCGGTCCTAATGAGTTGAAAGAACTTTTTTCCAAGTGGGATCCAAGGTTACAGAAACTAATATCGTTAGTTCATCAAACCTCTAAATGGAAATTACAGAACAGCGTCGAAATGGATACTTGGGTTCATCCTAGTGCAAATGTGGCTTTGATGGGGGATGCATGTCATGCGACTCTTCCATATTTAGCTCAAGGAGCTGCTCAAGCAGTAGAAGACTCTGCTTGTCTTTCTGAAATATTTGGTGCTTCTCTTGTAGACAGGGGCCAAATACATTACCTATTAAAGCTTTACGAAAATTTGAGAAAGGAGAGGACCACGAGAATAGTTTTAGAGTCAACCAATTGCAGAAATATTTACCACTTACATGATGGACCAAAACAAATGGAAAGGGATCGTCTTTGTGCTTTATTCCCGCCTCAAGAAGGCTGTCCCAACAGGTGGGCCGATCCAGTTTTTCAGAAGTTTTTGTTTTCTACTGACATCTTTGAAGAGGCGAAAGCAGCCACAAAATCTTACAAGAATGGCAATAAAATTCTAGTTTAGTCTGTACTATTTAGTTTTGTTTAAATGAAGTCCAGTTTAGTTAGTTAAATGCTGCAAAATGATTCATCAACGCACTTTTCATTATAGCTGATGGAGCAATTTTGCCTGTATGCATCTCAAATTGAGCAATGGCTTGTTCATGCAAGTAATTCAAACCAGTAGTGACAACCCAACCTCTAGATACAAACTTTCTCGCAGATATTTGGAGGGGAGATATCAATGGATTATATCCTGTCTCTACAAATACCCCACCGGACGGAGAGTCAAACCAGAAGTCAGGAATCTCAAAATGAATAAGTTTGTTAGTGACTATATCACGGCCTGGTATACAATTAATAATCACAGTAGGTAAATGATCATACCGAATTTCCTCTGGAATGTCGCTTAAGCTTTTTATTATCTCAATTTTAAAATGTACAATTCGTGGAAATGGTTCCTCAAATGTCAAAGGTGATTGCTTGTTGAAATGGTCCGCCAACTGTCGTGCCTTTGATTCTGTTCGATTGAATAAGAGAATTCTTTTGAAGCCTAAGGATATTAGGGCATAAAGTGAAGCCTGACTCATTCCACCAGCACCGAGGACCAAAGCTGTCTTCGAATCACTTACTCCATTTATGGGAGATGAATTAGAGTTTATTACTGCCCGAATCCCCAACCAATCTGTATTTTCCCCTCGTATCTTACTGATTTTGTCCTGGTCGTCATATGATCTTACTGCAATTATAGTATTTAAAGCCCCGATTCTTGATACATGTTTCGAAACGTTATCTACTAAGTCTAATACCTTTAGCTTGAATGGCATAATCACAGAGGCACCTCCAAAATCTGGGCGTCGCATAAGATCACTTATCTCTTGAACAGTAGAACACTGAAATACAATGCATCTATGTGGGAGACCAATAGACAAGTACCCGGCATTGTGCATCGCAGGAGAGAGTGATTGTGTCACATGCCGTCCTACCACATAGAAAGAAAGTGCCGACATCATAAAGCAAGAATACAATGATTTGTTTAAATCATAGGCTGATAAACCGACAGATGTTTCGTATTCATAGTTTTCATTACTTGTAACTGTTCTGTCGTGAAGTTGTCTTACTTCTGAAGAATTAATGGAATAAGGTGGTTCTGTGGATGTCAAATAAAGATTCATAATTCTCGAAAACCTGCCTAGCTTGCCAGTATTGTATGCTATAAGCTGTGTTTTTCTGTCTCCCAATTTATTACAATCCCTTGCAAACTCCTGAACCTCCAGATTTTCGCTGAAACGAGAAGCCTTCTTTGTTATCTTTATGATCTGGCAACCAATATTCTTTGCTAACATATATATATCAAATGGCTGGGAGGTGGTCCAGAAATCTTCCGTAGAACAAGAATGATATGCACCGATAATCTTTGTGTGGCAGCTGTTTCTCATAATCTCTTGTAAGACACTTGTGCCTTCGTGTCTACCCATAAACTTATTTTCTTGAGCTAAATTTAAGTCGATAGTTAGGTAACTCAATCCAAGACGAATACCAGATAATAAGACATCAAAATACAACTGTTTCAATTGCGAATCTTCAGTTTCAAATTGATCGGCGATCAAGTCATAGTCAACAGTCATAATTATTGGAACTGAATAAGAACTCACATGGCGAACTCTTGCCACAAATTCATCAATAGTTCTCAAAGGAATACCATACTCGACCAACTTTTTAATATTTACCAATATTTCAACAGCATCTGCACCTAAAATCAAGTCATCAATATTAAGTTCGTTGTCAAGAATGTAAGGAAAATTTATTTGCACCACAGAAGAATGCTTTGAGTATTCGGGTGGGCTTAAATAGTTGTGAGTGGAAACATGGCCCCACATTATTAGCGCCAAAAAATTCAAAAAGTCACTTTTAGCACCTTTTAATGCAAGAACATCAACTCCAGATGTGTATTTTGGAAACGAAATCGCAGAATTTGAATCTGAACTCGATCTAAGATTAAAGAAATCAAAATGTGAGCAATACTGATAATTGCGGTACTTCTGACGAACCCACAGAAGTCCCTTTTCAATTGGTCCATCATAATCAATATAAGTCAAAATTCTAGTTTCCTCACATTTGATGTGCACGATTAGATGCTGTCGTCCATACTCGATCAAAAAATTCACAGTAGGTTCATAATCAATACAAGAAGCTGGTAGTGCTATAATACATCTGGTTGTATTTTTCGTTAAAGTTTCAACTACCGAGTTGAATTCTGTCTTTCGAAATTCAACCAATGATTCCTTCTGTAGTAACGGCGAGTCTGAGTTACCAGAAGCTTCACTTAAACTTCTCTTTAAGTCCAAGAATTCAAATCCTAAGGCTGCAGAAGCTAAAAGAGCTAGAGTCGATTTTCCAACTCCTCTCATTCCAACTAAGACAATACTACTATTAGAGCTATAGCTATAGCCATTATTTGATCCATTTTTTTCATTAATGTTCATGATGGAAAACTAAAACTGTAAACTCATTGAATCTTCTCTTTTCACCTTGAAGATTCAGCCTGCTGAACATAAAGTAGTCATAGTCTGGGGTTAACTCCAACTAACTATAGCTCATAACTTACTTTAGGCACTTATGAGGGGACCACGCTGTAGCGTGTATATAAAAACGCTTAAATGCTTTTCCGTGTTAAGAAGAACTTTCAGATATACAGTTATAAGCGTTCAAATTATCCCTCTGAAGACCCAGAAAGTACAACAAGCTCAAGAAATGAGTCGCAAGCTATTACTTATTAATGGTCCCAACTTGAACTTGCTCGGTACAAGAGAACCCGAGAAGTATGGTTCATCATCACTCAAAGATATAGAGAACAGATCAAAAGATGTCGTTCGCGAAGTAATCGCAGCCAAAGAGAAAGATATAGAAGAGATATTGTACACTTATCAGTCAAATCATGAAGGAGATATCGTAGATCGCATACAAAAAGCAAGAGAGGAGGAAGTTGGTTTCATAGTAATCAACGCTGGAGCATTCACTCATACTTCAGTTGCAATAAGAGATGCTTTACTCGCTGTTGATATACCTTTCATCGAGCTTCATATTACAAATGTTCATAAAAGAGAAGCCTTTCGTCACACTTCTCTTCTCGCAGACAAAGCTGTGGCTGTCATCAGTGGCTTGGGTGTATATGGTTATGAAGCTAGCTTGATATTCGCCTCCAATTACGTGAAATGAATCAAATAGTCTCTACGATTGGAAATGACATCCTCCCGTGTATAAAAATTTATAGTACTTAGTATTATTGAGACAATAAACGGCCTTAGATCATCACACATTTCAAACGTGGCATTTGACGAATAGAAAAGTTCGGATGTCATGTATACTTTTCCGCACATCATCCCCACAGATCTCTTCAAGAAAATTTTTGGGGTAAACTATTAAGCCCCCCTCCTCTTTTAGATTTAAATACATTAAGTTAAATTTTTCCGTAGGGATTTAGTCACCGGCTAAATGTTGACCAGTTCTCATAGGAATGAGGTTCTGAGTATATTCAATGCTTGATGAAATGGAACCTGAGAGTAAGAGAAGAAGAGTAAGACAAGCATGCAATCCTTGTCGAAATAAAAGAGCGAAATGCGATGGTGTTAAACCTGTATGCTCCACTTGCAGAGAAACTGGATCTACATGTACCTATTCTATTACTAGTAAAAAGAGAGGGTTGAAAACTGGTTATCTTCACGATGTAGAGAGAAAGAAAACACTTTTGGAGGCCATTTTAGGGTTTTTAATTTCAGATGTCAATGAATCAACAGAAATTGAAAAGTCAATTTTTAAAACGCTTTCAGTTTCGGAGAAAGGTGAAGAGTTACTAGGAAGGCTCTCTGAGTATCAATTGAGGTGGACGTCGAGCCCATTGTACGAGCTTTTCGATAAGCTTGTTTCAGAAAATGAACTGTTGATTCATATCCCAAATAAAAATCGAATCAAAAAAGAAGAAGATGACTCACAACGGGATGAAATCAGTGTACACAATGACATGGAAAGAGGCTGGAAACCTGAAGTTTTACAGTATCATGGAATATCTGGCCTTGTTTCTGGCTTTTCCCAGAATGCGATTCAAGAATATAATAGAAAGTTGGCTTCGAAAGAAACGTCACCGTTTCGAGTTGGTTCAATATTTCATGTCAGACCTAACCTGAAGGTAGTGAATCAACCTCCTGCTATCTTCTTTCCTTTAGATTCTCGAATTTTGATCGATGCATATTTTCAAGTTCTACATCCTTGGCTACCTATGATTAATCGGATCCATTTGATTAGATATATTCACCACACAGCTGAAATGAACAACAGTAAAGGTCCGAATAATCCTGACTTAAATACAATTGCTCTAATATGGACTGTCCTTGCCATAGGACAATATATTATTGACGTGAATGACAATTCTTCCGAATCTATTGCATCAAAATATGCCAGTAATGCCATTAGCGCTCTAGAAGGCGCAGGCGACTCAACTTTAGAGACAATTCAGGCAATGCTACTTTTAGGGTACTATCATTATTGCGCCGGTGCTTGGGGTATATCTTGGGTTCTAACCTCCTCTGCGGCAAGAATGGCCACTGATGTAAGATTAATGAAGCCTGACACGGAAGGATCAACTCAAAATAACAACGTTCCTGTTCTGGTATTCGATGACTCATCTCGTGAACGTACATGGGCTGTTGCATTTACTTTAAATACTCTCCTTGCTGCAAGGATGGGAAGGTCTCCTGTGATACGAGCGCTGGACTGGCCAGAAGTCCAAATATTTGAAGATGGGTGGGAAGAATGGGACTCGTGGGATGAATTTGGTCGCCATGAAGGTGGTGAAAACCCTTTACATATAGAAAGTGCTCGGTGCTTATCAACCTTTAATCTTCTCTTGAATATTGTGAGCATTCTTAATTTGTCTATCACGTCGATCATTGATACTACAGGAATTAATGATAGTCTATCTACACCGAATGTTATTACATTTGAACATTTGCAGAAAAAATTGAAGGACTTGAAGAATACTTTTCCCAATTATTGTCAGTTAAAAACAGATGCATCCACTGAAGAAATCCAAAAGTTGCCTCATTACATTATATTTGCACATTTAGCTTATCATTTAACCTTGTGTATTACAGCTGTTAGGCTCAGTGAGGTTGAAGTTTTAGAAGGTTATAAATATTCGAGAATGGAAAGAAACAAATTTTATACTGAGGGGGCATATGGCATTAAGCATTTTTTATCTTCAATGATAAAGAGACGCTTACTATACGTTCCATATTTGGACTATTTCACGTCAATGTGCCTGAGCTCAGGACAGATGTTGACAAGTGGTTCGAACCCAGATACTTTTACTCAGTATGCGATTAACGTTTTGAAAGAGGCTCCAAAGCTTCTTAATTCTTGCAGAATCGCGCAAGAGATGATAGAAATTGAGGGAAGAATGAAGACGAATTCAGGAACCAATTTTTATAATTATCCTAACACACTGCACAAGTTTACTTCTACACTGAAAAGCATTGACGAAAATTTGGAAATCTCCTCTTTTCACTCGTCATTACAATCTTCATGTCTGTCGTTATTCCCTAATGAAATTTCGGGCCATTCATCAACAAGTTTCAATTCTGGCCAAAATAAGTCCAAATCTTTCGACTACGACGAATTGGATGTGTTCATGTTAGACACCGATTCTCCAGAAAACAACCCTCGAAAGGATAAGTTTTTGAAGAATCTAGGTTATGTGGGGGGTACCAAGAAGAATTGGACATCGAAATATGAAGAGAAATAATTATGTTGTGTTCATGATCTTCTCTTTTGAATATCAGTCGTGCTTTTCCATGCGATCTCGGAAAAGATCTGGGGAACTTCTCGTTGCGACACATTAACATAGATAATTATATACATACATGGTAAGCGCAATATACATTAGGTTGAACCTTCATAAACGCGTCAACCCTATCGGAGTGCTCTTGTTCCTTTAAGAAGCAAACTGTCAAATGAATTAAGGACATGGAACGAAGTTTCCTCTAACCGTCATAATCGATCATCAATATTAATCACGTGGAGGATAAGCATTTTTCCTAGATCTGGCGGGGAGATCATTATTACGGAAGAATATTTTTCAGATAAAAATATATAACGTACTCTTCGAATATCACTTAATTACTTTTCGTAAATTGTCAACTACGTTATCATGGAAGATCCAATCAAGTCGTTACCACCCACAGAGCCATTTGAGAAATTGAGAAAGGAAAAACTTCAATTTTATCTCTTTGGAGAGCATTTAAGTGGCTCCAAAGCACCTATCTTGCATAATTCTATTTATAAAGCTTTAGGATTGAGTTGGAACTATAGTATATATGAAACGAGAGACAAAAACGTATTTAACGAAATGCTAAACTCGTCAAGTTGCATAGGCTGTGCTGTGACAATGCCCAACAAGATTGAATTTGCAAAGGAAGTAGACATTTTAGATAAAGTGGGTCAGGGTGTCGGATCTATCAACACTGTATATACTAGGAAAGACAAGGATGGAAAAAATATCAAGATTGGAACTAATACCGATACAATCGGAATATACCAAGCTTTTATGCAAAATGAAGAAGCTAAGAAGATCGTTGAGAATTATAAAGGAAAACCTGGGTTAGTTTACGGAGGAGGTGGTGCCTGTCGTTCAGCTGTGTATGCGTTGCACGAACTTATTGGCTGCTCTCGTATATATGTTATCAACCGTGACCATAATGAAGTAGATGAGTTGAAGAGATCTGTTGAGCGATCCGGATTACGAGCAGAAATCGTCCATGTTGAAACTCCCGAATTTGCATCTATGCTAGAAAGGCCTGAATTGGCCGTTCTTACCGTTCCTGATTTTCCTCCGGTAACGAAACAGGAGAAGCTTGCCAAAGCGACTTTGGACATACTTATGAGGTCCAAAAGGGGCGCTGTCTTAGAGATGTGCTATCATCCTAGAATTTATACAAGACTTTACCGTGAGTTTGAAGAAAATGGGTGGAATGTGATAGATGGCTCCCAGGCCATGATATACCAAGGTTTGGAGCAGATTATGCTTTGGAGTGGCCATACATTAGAAGAGCTTCCAGTGGAATTGGCAAAAGAAGAAATTAAAAGTAACATCTAATTACTATCTGAAATTGGATGACGACTACCAAAACTTCGTTCGGTTAGATAATGGGACTCATTACATTGTCATATAAAGTAAAAATTTATAGATATAACGCATTTTCGATTATTGTCAACTTTTGAATTTTCTGAACTTATGTGGAAATTTTAAAATCTTACAATATATTGTAGTTAAAATATTCAAAAGACCATTGAATATGAACTATATACCATTGCTCTAAGATCTAAAAGAAAATGTAAAATAACTTCTTTCTTCTATCGTCTAATAATAAGATGACATTGATATAGCGTTACCTAAAGGAATTTGTATTTTTATCGCCTTAAACTCATTCTTTTACGATTAGACCAGCATAACCTTGTCCAGTGGAAGTGCACATGGATACCACACCTACCTCCTCTCCAGTTGTTTCAAGAGCATTTATTAATGTAGAAATACATCTAGCGCCAGTGGCGCCGAGTGGATGCCCTAATGCAATTGCACCGCCAAATATGTTTACTTTCTTTGGATCAATCTTCAATTTATCAATAACGTACAACGATTGAGATGCGAATGCCTCATTTAATTCCCACAAGTTGATATCATTAACACCCAATCCTAATTTGTTCAAAAGTTTAGGAACAGCGACAGCAGGCCCAATTCCCATATACTTGGACTCCACGCCAGCAACAGAACTGGATATATACCTAGCAACTGGCTTAAGGTTCAAAGATTCAGCAACCTCCCTTGTTGTTATCAAGACTGCGGATGCACCATCTGATATCTGTGAAGAGTTTCCAGCAGTAGTAGTTCCGTTCTCATCGAAAACAGGCTTCAATTCACTTAATTTTTTTAAGGAAATACTGCTTCTTATACCATCGTCCTCTGTTACTACTTCAGTTTTAAATGATTTTCCCTCCTCGTCTAAGGGGATATGCGTCACGACCGGTACAATTTCTTTTGCAAAATGGCCAGAGTCTCGGGCTTTCAGGGCCTTGACGTGACTTTCAAACGCAAATAAATCTTGGTCGTTCCTACTGATACCATATTTCTTAGCAACGTTTTCTGAAGTAATTCCCATTGGCATAAGAACATCTTTTGATTCCTGATTTGCAGTACTTAAAAGATGAGGGGATATTCTGGTTGGGATTCCTCTGTGAGGAAAGTAATCAAAGGTCATTGATTCTACCCCTGCTGCAATAGCAATTTTGTTGTCATTGCATCTTATCGAATTTGCCATATATGTTAAAGCTTGGGCTGAGGAAGAGCATTGCCTATTTATGGTATTGATCGTTGTCGACGGAGGAAAACCTAGTGACTTCACTGCAAGAGCTGAAGCTTTTTGCCCTCCTAGATTTTGAAGAACAGTGCCCACTAGTACGTCTTCTACGAGCCCGCGTTCAATACCACTTGCATTTATGGTTCCTTCAATTGCTTGCTTCAATAATTCCTCTGGGAAAGAGTTAGCTAATGGCCCTTTTTTTGATCTAGATATAGGTGTCCTTTTGGCTGCTAAAATAACGATATCACCAGCAGATTTACTTTTTAAAGATTTTGGGAAGAAGCTCATTTCAAAATGCGGTGGTACTAAGTATAAGTCCGACACAATGCTAGTTTCTTTTGTCTCTATTCTTTTAGTGCATATTCTCTTCTGTTGACATGGTTTTATATATTTAGCGATGCGAATCTCTTAAACATATATCCGGATACATTATCCGTTTGAATATGACTACGGAAATACACATTTCCGAAAATCCATAACGCTACATAAATATATAACAAGACAATATCAAGGCAATTAGAGATCAAAACTTATAATAGACTAAAGTAGAAGCGTAACCATGTTAAGATTGCTTGGTGTCCGCTTAAGACCCAAATTGGACATTGGTTCAAGTAAAAGGTTCCTTTCCAATTCAAAAGTTGTTGATTCTGTTGAAAAGGCATTAGAGGGAATAAAATCTAATATCATATTGTTGTCAGGCGGGTTTGGATTATGTGGCTTACCAGAAACATTGATTGAAGGTTTGTTGAGCAAAAAAGATGTCCAAAATATAACAGCTGTCTCTAATAATGCAGGGATAGATGGAAGAGGATTAAGCAAGCTCCTTGAATCGGGTCAAATAACTAAGATGTTTAGTTCTTACATTGGGAATAACAAAACTTTCGAGAAAATGTATTTGAGTGGAAAGATTAGCTTAGAGTTATGTCCTCAAGGAAATTTGGCTGAAAGGTGTAGAGCGGGGGGTTCAGGTATTCCTGCATTTTACACTGCGACTGGTGTTGGGACGTGGTTAGAGGAGGGTAAACTACCACTAAAATATGACGACAAGGGCAATGTCCTCGAGACCACAAAACCCCGAGAAGCTAGGATTTTCAACGGTAAAAAATACTTACTTGAAGAAGCTATCATTGGCGATGTTGCTTTTGTAAAAGCATATAAAGCCGATCATCTAGGCAATTGTTGGTTTCGGGGGTCTGCAAGAAATTTCAATTCTGTTTTCGCTAGAGCTGGTAAATTAACAATCGTTGAAGCTGAAGAAATAGTCCAACCAGGGGAAATTAAACCTGAAGATGTGCATTTACCAGGAATTTATGTTGATAAAGTCATTAAATCGACTTCACCAAAAGACATTGAAATATTGACTGTTCGCAAAGGAGAATCAGAAAAGAGCACTCAGTTATCTGAGGCTGACCAAAGGAGGATTCGAATTGTTAAAAGGGCTGCTCAAGAATTTGAAAATGGAAGCTTCGTAAACCTCGGCATAGGTATGCCTACATTAGCACCTGGATATGTGTCTGAAGAAGTTGATGTTTGCTTGCAATCAGAAAATGGCCTTTTAGGTTTAGGCGATTATCCTGAACCAGGTAAAGAAGACGCTGATTTCATAAATGCAGGAAAGGAAACTGTAACATTGAAGGATGGGGGAAGTCTTTTTGGCTCTGAAGAATCATTTGCGATGATAAGATCGGGAAAAATCAATTTGACAATTTTGGGTGGCTTTCAAGTATCTCAATATGGAGATCTAGCTAATTGGGGCCTACCTGGAAGAATTAAAGGAATGGGTGGTGCCATGGACTTGGTATCCAACCCATCGAAAACTAAAGTTGTTGTATTGATGGAACATGTGGATAAAAAGCAGAGACCAAAAATCCTTACAGAATGTAGCTTCCCATTGACTGGAGCTAGATGTGTCTCAAAAATTATCACAGATCTAGCTGTTTTTGAAGTTGACCCTAAAAAGGGGTTGACACTAACAGAAATTAGTAAAGATACAACATTGGCCGATCTAAGACTTTTAACAGCCGCTGACTTCGAAATTGCAACTGATCTTAAAGAAATAGAATTGTAATGGGCCTTTCTCTTATAGTTAAAAAGATACACCTGGACAAATATAAGTGTAGTTTTAAAATTCCTGGCAACTATATAAAATCTGAAAAATTGTTTTTTCTATTCTGGTATTTTTCAAAAACCTCTAAACTCATATATTTTATACGCTACAGATAAGCGAGCTAATGCATCACGTGCTTTATATTTGATGATCGTTTGTATATGATTCCTTCCCTCCAGATAAGTAATAAGCATGTTATTAAGGGAAGCATGAAAAAGAAGACCAAATATAGCCACGGGGGCTGTAATGAATGCAAAAAGAGGAGCATTAAATGTGATGAGACTAAACCGAAGTGTCGTCATTGCTCCCGGAAGGGTCATGAATGTGTTTATTCTTATGATATATTCGTTTACCAACCGAATAAGAGGTTCAAAAGGTCTGACACTCGAAAAACGAAGAAGGAGATAATTCAGCAAGTATCAAATACCGGGGATGTACTATCGAGCATGCAACCTTCGGATTATGCTATTACACGAAGCATCAGGAAGTTTCAGGAGGCATTCTTAGAAGAGAATCACTTTGCTGAAAGACCTACCATTGATGACAACGAAGCCTCCATCCCTTTGCCGCTGAATTTTGAAATCCTCTTGAATTCGAAACCCAAGACCTATACTGTACCTTCATTCGTGGAAAACTGGGTCTTCGAATTTGAAATCGATGAATACAATAGAATCTTCAATAAAGTTATTGGAAAGCGAAGCAAACCATACACAGATTATTTTGATGAAAACGATCCGGATGTTCAGTTATTGATATGGCTAACTTTCACTAAATCAAAGTCAATATATAACTATTCGTTGGTCATCGATGACAGCAAAAACTATATTTCAAAATGGTTTTTCTTTTTTGCTAGGCTGTATCCTATCGTAGGATACGTAGTGAATGCAGTTACCGCTAATCTATTTTGTGTTAAGGAAAAAGATGCTAGATGGGATTTTGTTAGGCGAAGAACAATGCAAAGTGCTCTTGATATCTTATCATGTGGAGTCTACGATTGTCATTCATTTGAGGAGATGACATGTTATTTAATGAGTACAATGTTCTTATTTTCAGAAAGGTCAGCAAAGAAAACAGACACTTGGAGGTTACATTTGACTGGAGCTTTGGGAATTTTGCAGAAATGTGAGCTTATGCTTTCTTCTTCTGAATTTTTCAAGGAAGATGAAATGGTTTTGCACATGTATTCATTTGCTAAGAATTGGTTTATAACGGCAGAAACTACGGCATGTCTTTCAGCACCAAATGGTGGATCTATCAGAAATATATCAGAAGCTTCTACAATTCTTTCTTACTCAAGAGAAATTGAAGAAGAAGGTTTTATTTATGCTGGCTTCAATTTATTGAAATGCTATTCTCAAAGCTTGACTCCAGTATTCGTTGAGCTCATAAAAATCTCAATGGATTTAAGAGCTCGAGGAGTCACTTTGAGTGGTGCATCGGGGATATTACACGATTTGCAATTGGATCAGAGTTACAAGGAAAAAGCGTTCGAGTTATTACAAATCGTGGATCTAACTGAAACTTCAAAAATGGACGTCTTCAAGATTGACGATATCAAGAAGCGTGCTCGCATGAAAGCTTGCAATATATGTCACTGCAATGCTTTAAGAGCATATATTTATGCAGTTCTACTTGATGAACCCATATATGGAAGAGCAATTCAAGAATGTGTACAGACAATCGCAGAACAATTACTATCTATAGCAGATATAAAATACTATGGGCTCGCGGTGCATTGGCCAGTATTCATTGCAGGCATGTGCTCTCCTCCAGGCTCACATAGGCGAGCATTTATAGATACGTTGAAAATAGTCACAAGCAATGGTACATTCGTAGCAAGAAATACCATAGAGAGATTAGAACGAGCATGGCTTTCTATTGATAATGGAGACATCATTAATGAAGAAAATTACGATTGTATTGCCTGCTAATATAATATCAAGATTTTTTGACGATTAATGAATCAAATTTCACTCATCAGCTACTCAAATCGTCAGCTGAAATGATTGAAGCATCTTTCAACTCTTTTAAGAGACCTTCTTCTGGAATATGAACATTATCAATATTTGTAGTTCCTTTCCATTGCTGATAAGTTATCATATCTCTCTGTTTACATTCTTCTTCTGTGAAAGAATCAAAATAATCAATATTATCGACATCTTCCACATTCTTGTATGGCCAGATATAAGCACTAAGGCAATTCAAGAAAAAGGCAATTGAAAACTCAAATAGACAATTACCGTAGTAAAAATTACGAATTCCGGAGTTTATTTTAATTGAAGGGTTCGCTCCATTCATCAACCCCGGAAGGCCAGGTGCAAATGAAATACCCCAGATAATCAATGACCTGTAATTCCAACCGGCCGAGTACCAATAGTTTCCATTAGCGTCATCCACATACAAATGTGACAATTTAAGCTTCTTTCGCCTAATCACCCAGAAGTCCGAAGTTATGATTGCAACAATCGGTGACATGAATACTGAAAAAGAAGACATTACTGTCACAAATGTGGAAGAAGTATTATAAAAATCCCAAGGTTGTACAACCCAAGATAACAAGGCTGTCAATACAGCACCCCTTTTTATTGTTATATATTTCGGCAAGATTCCTGCCATATCCATCCCCCCAGCATATCCATTTCCCATTGTGTTGAAGCACAATTGTGACAAAGTGAAAGAAACGCCGCAGAAAAAGGCAGCTGCTCTCGCCTTTGGGCTATAGTTTGTTTCTAGCCACTGAATGATTATAGAATTTGGCAACCAAAATTCTTCCTTGTAAGTTTCTTTCATTGCAGAAGCTGTAACCAATCCCATTAGCGGTATAATAGTTCCAATCACTATCAACGAAAATATAGTTCCCCAGAAAGATGACCATGTTTTCCTTGAGAACCTAGTGAAGTCTGACTGATTTGCAACACCGGAAGATAGAGAGCCATACCAAGAACTGATACCATAAACCCAGTACCAACCCCTTGCAGATGAACTCATTTGTGAGGATGTTGTCATTAATGGACCATTACTTCCACCATTATTAGTAACTGCCCAAATTGTAATGCCCATCATGGCAAAGAATGTCGCACAGCACGTCACCATCAATAACTTGTTTATCTTCTCTGGTTTCAAAAATAATAAAGGAATTGAAATAACTTGAAATATAACAAAGCCAACTAGGTCTCTGGTCGTCATGTTGACAGATTCAGGAATGGTGTTTTTCATGTTAAGATAATTACTACTCCAACTAGAAAAGATACAGCTCAAACAAAGTGACCCCAAGTATGCCTGTGACCCAAACCAAACAATAGATAATATAATCCGAATAACTATTCCAATAGTAGAGCCCCTTATACCAAACACAACACGCTGAGAGATAGTGTACCCTATATGGTAATACCCACCGGGTGCCGCATTGAGAAGAGCTAGAGTTGCGATTATGACATTTCCTATGATAATGATTCCCATAGTTTCGCCGACTGATAGACCGTTCGACAACAAAGAAGAAGCACCTGACCAAGTACTTATTGTTACATTAGTGATTGACCAATAGAACATATAAGAGAACTGACCCCAAATCCTTCTTTCTGGCCCCATAGGTATGATGTCTTTATTCCTGAGATACGTAATCTGCTCCACACCCTCCCCTTTTACTTTGACGGCCTCGTTTATCCTTGATATAGTCCCCTTCACAGTCATCTTATATGTTATGGTTCTATTTTTTAAACGGTTGCATTTTGACAATAGAATTATCATACATTATATATTAATCTACTTTGATGGTGAAACACAACTTCGGAAACGTTTCCCGAATTGGTTAATCAGTGATATGATATCCAAAAATTCGTCGCACGTCAAAAAAAAACTAAGCGCAAAAGACCAAGGCTGTAATGCAGGAGATAACCAATATAGAAATAATTTCGAGAAAATAATAATGAATCTCGGGTTGGTTTCCATTGGTGTGAATTTTACTGCGTCTCCTAAAACGGTAATTTTCACGAGATGATTTTTATGTAAAGTCAAGGCCGGCCCTATTTAATATGGCGAAGTTACCTGAAGAATGGATACTACAGTGAAAAAAAAAGGTCAAAATATTGTATTGCCACGGATGCTGGAAAAAAGTCTACTTATTGGTATCGATGTCGGCGGGACAAACACTGATTCAGTTCTACTCAATCCCGCATTATTAGAAAGCGACAACAGAGGTGTGATATCATTCCACAAGTCTGTGACCACGCCAAACATCTCCAAGGGTATTACGAGTGCTCTTGGAAAATTATTTGAGGGCAAGTCAGATTATTCGCCAGACCAGGTGTTAGCTGTGACAATTGGAACAACGCACTTCATTAATGCAGTAGTTGAACAAGACAAAGCTCGACTTGAGCAGGTAGCCGTGATCAGGCTTTGCGGCCCATATTCCAGCGGTATGTACCCTTTCTCTGATTTCCCCGAAGGGTTAAAAAGAATTATTCACTGTTACAATGCAAGTGTGAACGGTGGGCATAGGGTGGATGGAAATGAAATTCAGCCCCTAGACGAAAATGCCATTCGTGAGCATGCTCTCAAAATAAAAGAAAAGGGAATAAAATCAATTTCTATAGTCGGAATCTTTTCAATTATAAATAAAAGCCATGAGATACGTGCTGCAAAAATAGTGAGAGAAATAATACCCGATGCTAATATTGTTTTATCGTCCCTGGTATCTGGAATTGGTTTTCTAACTAGGGAGAATGCTTCGATTTTGAATGCGTCTATTTTAACTTTCGCTACAAAAATAATCCATTCTTTGATTTCTTCTATCAGAAACTCTGGTTTTCATTGTCCAATCTTTTTAACTCAAAATGACGGGACTGTGCTTACTATCCATGATGCATTAAAAGCACCCATCCGAACATTTTCTTCAGGTGCCACTAATTCTATGAGAGGTGCAGCATTTCTTTGCACCAAAGAGAAAGATATTGTTGGAAAGAATATCATGGTTGTTGATATAGGAGGAACAACTACTGACGTGGGTCTTCTATTACCTAATGGTTTCCCACGACAGGTCTCTGCTCATTCGATTGTAGGTGGTGTTAGAATGAACTTTTCTATGCCTCATGTTGAAAGTATTGGTTTAGGAGGTGGTTCAATTGTGCGTCAATCGGAAAAGGGATTAACTATAGGTCCAGATTCTGTAGGTTCAGAGATATTGACGAAATCCAAAGTTTTTGGAGGATCTATTCTGACAACTTCCGACGTGACAGTGGCCATGAATTATAAAACCGGGAATGAACTATATAGTATTGGAGATGCAGAGTTGGTCAGAAATGAATTCTCAGATGAGTTCAAGAAAGAATTCTCTGAAATATTAAAGAATAAGATTGAAAGAGTAATTGACAGGATCAGGACAAGTCCTGAACCTTTGCCAGTATTACTTGTTGGAGGTGGATCTTTCATTGCACCTAAGCAATTAGATGGAGCTTCCAAAGTTGTCCATCCGCCATATTTTCAAGTTGCAAATGCAATTGGTGCGGCAATGGGAAAACTCTCTTCTTCCATAGAGAGAGTTGAAGTTTTATTATCCATCGATGAAAAGGAAGCAGTTATTGAACGATTGACTAAGGAAGTTACGGCGGAAATTGTTCAGAAAGGTGCTTCTGAGAGCTCGGTAAAAGTTGTTGATGTTAGGTACGATCCTGTACCTTATGTCGATAAAACATATTCATTCGGAATCAAAGTTGTGGGGGATATTGACTACAGTCGAGTTGCTGAGGCTTTTGCCTCCTTAGAACTGTCAGAGAACTCAGAAAATAATAAAACAGATAATTCGCGTACGAATGAGTCAAGCAATAATGTAAAAAAATCAACCTTCGCACAAGATGATGAAAACAGGGAAGATGAAATAGCGTTTGATCATATAAGTTATATTCCTTCTATTAACAAAGACAGAGAATGGCTCTTATCTGAAGTCGATTTGGAGTATCTTAGAATTGGGACATATATTCTTGGGTGTGGTGGAGGAGGAACACCCTATCCAATATACCTTGACGTGAGAAATATGTTGCGGGATGGTGCCATCATAAAAGTCATAAGTCCCGATGATGTTTCGAGATACAGTACTGAAAATGGTTCTTACGTTACTGTCGGATTTGCAGGATCACCAACGGTGACGGATGAACAATTAGCTGGAAGTGAGTTGGTCGATGCTGCAGAAGCATTATTCGATTATACCATGAGTACTGCAGACGGAGTATTTGCCCTAGAAATTGGGGGTGGAAATGGTCTTCAAGGACTTTATTGTGGCTCCTCTACGAAGTTAAATTTGCCTGTTATAGATGCGGATCTAATGGGACGTGCATATCCTACGCATTCACAAGTCCTTCCAACAGTTTGCAGTGATGAGATGGTCCTTAAATTAACATCAGTCTCAGATGGAAATGGTAACAAATTCCTCATCACAGATGCTCAGAGTGAAACATATGTCGAAAGGATGTTGCGAGCATCGCTTTCTGAAATTGGAGCAAGTGTTGGTGTTGTTAATTCCCCTATGACAAGCAAACAGGTCCAGTCTATGACTGTCCATCATACACTCTCATTGGCCTGGAGAATCGGAAGGGCTGTCAGTATAGCCCGTCAAAAGTCTGAAATCGATCGCTTACCCGAGATAATTTTGAAGAGCATAGGCGGCTCCAGATCTGGCCGGAAAATCTTTGCAGGTAAAATAATTGGAGTTGAAAAACGTCTTTTCAAGGGTCATGTTTACGGCGAAGTATTAATTGAAGACGAACATAAGAATAAGTTGTGCATTCCATTTAAGAATGAAAATATTGTTGCCAAGATTCAAAAGAAAGGCTCATCAGATTGGGAAGTAATTTGCTCTGTTCCTGATTTAATATCAGTTTGCTACGCTGATAGCGGAGAGGCCGTTGGAACACCTGACTACCGCTATGGAGTTGTTGTTTTTGTCTTAGCGTTCGCACCTAATAGCTTGTGGACAAACTCTGAAAAGGCTTTAGATGTTGGTGGTCCAAAAGCTTTTGGACCCGTGTTTCAAGATATTGAATATAAACCAGTTGGCGAATATGTTAAACCAATCTCGGTAATTGATGAATATCAAAATAGAGTACGTTAGGACCCATCTGAAAGATAAAAATTTCACACATTGTACTACAAGAATATTCATACAAAAAGAAAAGCTTATGACATATAATACTCCTTTGGAAATGGTCATGACTCCATTGATCTTTCCTTATATGAAATTTTCCTCGATTAGAATGTCAGTTTCTTAAGATATATTAGCCAATTAGAATAATAAACTAGTAGATTACATTACTAAATTACATCGAGTCTCCGACGTAGAAACAAGAGTAGTAAACGTTGTTATGAAATTAATAGCACGTGCAAAAGACTTAATGCAGTTTTTCACATCCTGAGCATTTGCTTGCATGAAAAGCTTGATAAGGAAACACCTGTATACAAATATCTAAATATTATCTACAGTGGGTTGGCCGGCAGAGCTAAAGAAACAAGGGTCTGGACCACTGGAAAGCAAACATTGAATATTAATATAGACCCCATCCAGCTCAAAATATTGGGTGATTAAAAAAGAATATTTGTAGCAATGAAAGCAATTGTATATCATGGAAGGAATGATGTTCGTTATCATGAAGACTACCCCGAACCTCAACTTGAGAGACCTACAGATGTGAAGATAAAGGTCCACTATTGTGGTATCTGTGGGTCTGATTTGAAAGAGTATACAGATGGACCAATATTCTTTAGTCAAGAGGGTTCAAAAAACAAAATCTCAAATAAATCTGCACCGCTTTGTATGGGACATGAGATTAGTGGGGAAATTGTTGAGGTAGGGAAAGATGTTGATAATGTAGCAGTGGGTGATAAAGTTGTCGTCGAAGTGACGGGTACATGCTGCGATAGTTTCATGTTTCCAAATTCACCAGGCTACAATATGCCTAAATGTGAAGCGTGCCAAGAAGGGCGCTATAATGCTTGTTCTTACCTTGCCTTAACTGGCTTGGGATTTGATGATGGTGGATTTGCAAGTTATTTAGTCACACACTCCAGAAAGGCTATCAAGTTTGATGATGATATTCCTATGGATGTAGCTGCTTTGACGCAACCAATAGCAGTGTCATGGCATGCTGTAAGGATTTCAAATTTTAGAAAGGGCCTGACTGCTTTGATCTTGGGAGGTGGACCTATTGGGCTAACCACAATTTTTGCCTTGAAGGGTCACCAAGCTGGTCAAATAGTAGTTAGCGAACCAGCTTTAGCAAGAAGGCGTCTAGCTGAAAAGCTCGGGGTCAAAGTTTTTGATCCTTGTGGAAAGACAGTTGATCAATGCGTAGAAGGATTGAAAGCGCTCTCTCCTAATGGCAATGGCTTCCAGAGCTCTTTTGATTGCTCTGGTGTACCAGATACATTCAGCATAGGGTTGAAAGCACTCATTGTTGGAGGAACTGCGGTAAACGTTGCTGTTTGGGCACACAAGGCCGTTCCATTTTATCCCATGGATATAACCTTTTCCGAGAAATTGATGACAGGATCTATTTGCTTTGTTAAAAAAGATTTTGAGGAAGTTGTAAAGGCCTTGGAAGATGGACTTATACCTTTAGATGAAGTGAAGTTACTAATAACCTCCAAAATCCACTTAGAAGATGGCGTTGAGAAAGGTTTCAAGGAGCTACTCTATCATAAGGACAAGCACATTAAAATTTTGTTCTCTCCTAAGGACGAGTATAAACTGACATAAATAGCGAATTTGTTCAAGAGATTTTGCATCTTCTTAGCCTACTAAGAACTTTAGATATATTTTATTTAATAATCAAAAGTCTCGATGCAAGAGGTACTTTTAAAGATTTATATCCTATTTAGTCTTTTTCTTTTTAATACATTTTGATGACGGATTCAAAAAGGTAGTAATAATCTATCCACTTACCCCATTTTTCGCCATATCATAAATTGCATAAATGTTCAAACCTGAAACAAAGATCCATATAAGAATTACTAAAATGGTAGTCAACATGTTATTATGCATGTATTTATACTTTTCATCATTAGACTCTATTGTCAACTCGCCATCTCTTTCGCTTTCATCTCTAGGAAGTTCGACTTTCATGATAGATTTCTTACAAGTAAAATAGATCAATGGAGCTGTAAGCGGAGGTAACAAAAAAGATATAACAACTTGTGAGACATTCAAAGCCGTCGACAAACCGTCTCTTCCAATACAGAGCGATATGATCAAACAAGGTACTATTGATATACCTCTTGTAGCCAATCTACGTATCCATGGTTTGACTGTCCAGTTAATATGCCCTTCTGATACAATTTGGCCCGCTATTGTACAAACGATGCCTGCGCTTTGTCCAGAACAGAGCAATGCTACCATAAATATTGTACCTACTGCAGGCGCCAAGTTTTTAGATAACAAATAATGAATTGTGAATAAATCCGCATCGATGGCTTCAGGTGTTTTGTATAATGCTGAGCCAGCAACAATTAAAATTGCTGCATTGACGAACAATGCAAAAGTGAACAAAGTCAATACCATTTCAATTATTGAATATTTTAGGGAGTAAGTAATAGCTTCATAAGAAGGACGATACTCATTATAGAAGAACATGGCTTCACGTGCCTTTTGACCGCTTTTTTTTTCATCAGAGCTCTTACTCTGAGTATCATCTTCGACTTTCAATTCTTCGAGCTTGATATGGCCGTGAATCTTGTCATATTCTCTGAGTCGAGGTTGGACTATACCTGAACCTAAGAAAAGAGAGTGTATCATAACAGTTGCACCGATGATAGAAGTGGCAATTGTTAACCCATTACCTTCGACCATTTGACGTGAAGGCGCAAAACCTCTAAATATGTCTCTTACAGTGTCCTTACCAGTAGAAATAGCACCCAACTCGAAGGAAAAACATATGACCACTGCCAAAACTAAAACCCCAACAACATATTCGAAATAGCGAACAAACCTCGCAGAGGAAGTGTCATTCCTATATGCCATTAATACAAACAAAACATCTGTAATAGTAATGACTACACCAGCAGGTAAAGGAACTTTCAAAAGAATATTCAATGCTATTGCTGATCCTATGACTTCAGCAACATCTGTAGCTATAATTGCACATTCAGCTAGGATCCAAAGGATCACATTAAGCCAATGAGGTAAATATTCTCTGCTGCATCGAGCTAAATCATAGCCTGTGACAGACCCCAATTTGATACATAGGCTCTGCAAAAAAATAGCTATAATGTTGGAAATCAAAACAATAAACAAAAGTGAATAACCGTTCAGAGCTCCAGCTGTGACACCGGTAGCATAGTTACCTGGATCCATATAAGCAACCGATACCATCAACCCAGGACCACAAAATTTAGCATATTTTTTAATGATATTCTTGAGCTTTAATATCTTCTCCCGAATGTAAGAGCACTTTTGAGTTTCATCGCCGAATTCCATATCTATGAATCATATACATATACTGAAGTTTTAAGCAATCTAGCTTAGCCAATTCTTTACAGTCCAATTTTTTATATGTGCCCAAACCTTTTATATATTTTATTATGTACAGGGCTATGGCCAAGCAAAGCAGTCTTAAATTATTGCCTGCAAAGTGCCTGGTCGTAATTTTTCACAGCCGGTAAAGCACGAAAAACACACAAATATGTATACAAACAATCAAATATGGAACGAAGAGAGCTATTAAATTGCGCCTCCTTAGGAAAAAATAAGCTATTAAAAAGTATACATGAATAGGAAGTTTCCATGAAGGAACTTTATGGATAATTGCATGCAATACAATAATCATGAGGCATTTGTGATTGGTTGAGATTTGAGTGAATGATGCATTTAACCACAACCATTCTTCAGGTGCCATTCAAAGTAAAGTTCTAGATTAATTTCTTGTAACAAAATCTCGAATTAGTCTAGCGACGGAGGACACAGTGCTCCATAAATAGTCAATTTAAGATAGTATGTGAAATGTATACCATGGTTTATTCCATATTTCTTCATTTAATTCGGAAAGCACTGGCGCAGTAGAATAGAATAGGTTTTTAGATATCTTTAAGGGTCGATAACTGAGGACGGAAACTCAATTCATTTTCAAAGATCAATATAATGACTTTCTAAAATTCAATGGTTATATTAGCAATGAATACAGTTGCATGCCATGCTCTGGATACCCAAAAGTTATGTTTTTTTTTTCTTCTTTCATTTAGATAGTCCTGATGTCCAAAGGTACTGAATTTTGATCAACTATCATCATTTATAACCTCCAGTCTTAAGGCAGCTTTCTTTTTATTTCTAGATGGAGCTATTGTTTATCCTCCCTCCTCCTTTTCTTAATAAGGATTTCCAGAGTCGATGAGGAACGGAACATCAAATGAACTATTAAAACGTAGATCAGAACGAGTTTATTTTGCAATATTGAAAATTGGCCTGCATATACATGATACAGCCTCTTGAAATGTTAGGGAGAATACTATATTAGGTGAGATCACTAATCAGAATTGCATAAATAAAAGGAGTACATAAGACATACTTGTTTGCGAGTTCAGAACCCTTAAGATTTGCAGGTAAAAGAAAGAATTGCAATGAAAATACTGAAGACTATTATAATTGATTCCGCACCAGATAAGGTGCGGTCTGTGTTTCTCGATTTGCCGTCGCATGCTAAGTGGGATCCTTTTTTTGTACTGTTTGAATCAGAGACTAGCGAATTGAAGCCCGGTTCCAAGCCAAAAATACAATTGAAGTTTAAAGGTGATTCGACCGTACGAACTATGACACCCGTAGTACTTGAGAACAACGAGGAAAAGCTTCAATGGAAAGGGACCTTATTCTTGGAATATTTGTTTACTGGAACTCATACCTTTGAGTTCTTGCCACACGAAGAAGATGGCAAAGAATCTACCAAATTTATTCAAACTGAGGATTTTTCAGGAGTTTTAGTGTACGTTCTCAAGTGGATTGGTATTTTTGGTAAGACAGAAGGAAGCTTTGAGGAATTAAACCAAGCCTTAAAAAAAGAAGTTGAGAGATAATTTGAAGTAGGCGGCAGCTTAAAAAAAAGCGGCTTATTCATATCTGTGTTGGATAAAGCTATCCTCTACATATGTACTCAAGATGACAAAGATCTTTGCTTCTTAATATTTAAGGAATTTTTAATACAAGCTTTCCAGTTGTTTTCCTGCCTTCTAAATCTTGCGCTGCATCTTTATAATCTGAAAGAGGATATACTTTTGTAATATCAACTTTCAATTTCTTATCTTCAATTAATTGCAAAAGCTCTGTCGAATATTTTTTCCAATCTTCTGGATCATTAATGTAGCCAAAAAGTACCGGTCTTAAAAGCTTAAGGTTTTTTGGTGACAAGCGTGAAATCGTGAAGGGAGGAACTGGACCTGATGCGTTTCCATAACTAACAAATGTTCCTTTTCTTGCCAAAGAATCAATAGAAATATCGACACTGTCTTTACCAATACTATCGAAAGAACATTGAACCCCTTTGCCACTTGTAATTTCGTGGACTCTTTTAGCAATGTCTTCATTTGAGGAGTTAATCACATAATCTGCTCCTAACTCCTTTGCAAGTTTTAATTTGGCATCTGTCGAAGCAATTGCAATGACATGAGCTCCTCTTTGAGAAATTAACTGAACGAGCAATTTGCCAACTCCTCCTGCAGCAGCCCAGACCAAGATATAATCACCTTTCTTCACGTAGTATGCCTCGTTGATAAAAGTCAATGCAGTCAAGCCTTGAAGTAATAACCCTCCATAAAACTTTAATTCTTCATCAGTGACATCAGGTTTCAATTTCACAATGTTTGTGGTCTTTGAATCGACTTTGGTATACTGTGCAAAGGTTCTTCCTGATAAGTAAGCAATTTTATCGCCAACATGATACTCATTGACATCAGATCCAACAGCAACAATTTCTCCAGAAGCTTCCCTCCCCAAGATGTACGGTTTCTCTGTTGGATATATTCCTTTTCTAAAATACGACTCAATCATATTAATACCACTATATCTGTTTCGGACAATAATGTCAGTAGGAGATTCCAACGTAGGCACCGGAACATCTTTATACTGAAGAACATCTAATGATTCACCGTTTTCTTCGAACAATATGACCTTTTGTTGCTTTTGATCTACTACACTTGACATGATGATTGAACTAATTCTTTGCTTAAACAATTATAGTACCACGATATCTAATGATAATATCGTAATCCACTTAGGCTATCTTTTTAAATTTAAACTACTTGACAGTCAATGGAAACAAATAAAGAGACGAAACACGATTACGACTGTTCACGAGACCTACGTAGTTGAATTGATATTTATAGACCTCACATACATTTTATGTCACTATTCGTCCTTTTATATTTCACATAAAAGTCCCCTAGTGTAATAGCACGTGACTCACGGAAATAGAGTGAGGCATTACGTAAATACTTATCCATTCTCTTTTAATTTTGGCTACGACATGCCATGAGAATCTCTCAAAAGTCTATCCTTAACGTTCCCCTCAGTGACTCCATGTCTTTCGGAAAAGCGACAACTTTATGGCCATCTTTTTTGCAGGAAAAAAGTTCCGATATGATAATGTGCAGTGGATTAGGGCAAAGTCATGAGCTTAATAGCATTGAATAGAGCCTTCAGTCATAAAATAAATCAGACAAAACTTTCATTTTACTCTCTACTTTGGGAAGTTAGAACCCGCAGGCTGCTTTTGGTATCCAGTATTGATGAAAACCTCTACTTCTTTTTTAGTCAAGTGACACAAAAGCGTTTGCCTTATCACCATATGGCAGAAAAGGTCGGGGGTGAAAACTCAAGGAAAAATTATACTTTTTTTTCTCTTGAAGAGTCATCACAGAGTCATGAAAGCTTTCACGACAATAACTTGTTTCGCTGTCACAGCATTGACAACTAATGCTTTTCGAACTCCTTCAATTGATGGAGTTAAGCAGTTTGTGTTTAACGAAGTAGAGGAAGATACTATTCTGATAGGTACTGACTTATTAAACTCTGCAAGGCCGAAATCGGACAATTTGAAGGCAAGCGAAATAGGTGATATATTAGATGCTTGGAAAGACTTAGAAAAGAAACACAGTCACTCTTATCTCGAGAGTAAAATTAAACAATATAACTCTAAGTTTTCTGCTGACAAGTTCAATAATAAGGTCCTGAGTAAACCCGAAGAGACTGGTTCGAAAGAGAAATATCAAACTTTAAGTAATCAAAAGTTCGATAGTTATAATTTGAGAATTAAAAAAAATAACCCCGAAATCTTAGGCTTGGACTCTGTTGACCAGTACACGGGCTATTTGGATGTTGACAAGTTAGGAAAACACTTTTTTTTCTGGTTTTTTGAGTCAAGAGGTAACCCAAAAGAAGATCCCTTAATTTTATGGCTTAATGGAGGACCCGGTTGCTCATCTGCAACTGGGTTATTCTTCGAATTGGGTCCTTCCCTGATTAATTCGACTTTACAACCGGTCTTTAATCCGTATTCTTGGAATTCTAATGCCTCAGTTATTTTCTTGGATCAGCCAGTTGGTGTAGGATATTCTTACACAGAGGGAGAGGATATTAAAAGCACGGCTGCAGCAGCTGAAGATGTTTATATATTTTTGGAGTTGTTTTTCCAAAAATTTCCTAAGCTAACTAATAATAAATTCCATATTGCAGGTGAATCTTATGCTGGACATTATATCCCCAGCTTTGCCAGTGAGATTATAAACCGCGCTGATAGATCTTTCGAACTTTCGTCCGTGTTGATTGGAAATGGAATAACAGATCCTTTAATTCAATATGCATATTATAAACCCATGGCATGCGGTGAAGGAGGATATCCGGCTGTAATTGACGAAGCTTCTTGCGAGAAAATGGAAATTGATTATCCGAGGTGTGCTGCTTTAACAAAGTTGTGTTACTCGGCTCCAAGTGCTTTTTCATGTGTCCCTGCAACATTGTATTGTGAAGAGAGATTGTACGGTCCATACTCAAAGACAGGCTTAAATCCTTACGATATAAGGAAGGACTGCAGTGATGGAGGCAATTGTTACGTAGAAATGGATTATCTTGATGACTACTTGAACCTTGACTATGTAAAAGACGCTGTTGGTGCATCCAATATTGATATCTTCACTTCCTGCGATGACCAAGTTTTCAGAAATTTTATACTAAGCGGTGATGAAATGATGCCATTTCAGCAATATGTTGCTGAATTACTTGATAAAGACATCCCAGTATTACTCTACGCTGGCGACAAAGATTTTATATGCAACTGGTTAGGTAACCATGGTTGGTCCGATGCGCTCGAGTATGGTGATCATGAGCAGTTCGAAAAGACGTCATTGAAACCATATATAACAAAAAATGGGAAACTCGCAGGTGAAGTTAAAAACTACGGAATTTTCTCTTTCGTAAGAATTTACGATGCCGGCCATATGGTTCCATATGATCAACCTGAAAATTCGTTAGATATGGTTAACCGCTGGATCAATGGAGATTATTCTTTTGGAAAGAAATAAAGTTACATTCTTTGCTAATTGCTAGTATATATATATA